CAATAATATATAGGGTATTTCATTTAGAAAAACACAACTTTGATACTTTATATATATATTTTATTTGTAAATATCTTCTTTTTGACTTTAACTTCAATTTGTTTGCTGTGCACTGCTTGTGCTTGTGAGCATAGTTGATTGGTTTTCATAACTTTTGTGTTTGTACTGTTCACTCTCCTTGTATGTGTTTGAATTGTTTTGTGTCAATAAATTTTGATTTAGATATTGATTTGAGGGCACGACATTACAAGACGCTGCTGCTGTAAAAATGCAGTTTTTCTTTCGGTCTAAGTGTGGAGCTTTTTCAGCTAATTGGGCATCTTAAGGTCTTTTGCTTTGCTTGGATTGTTTCATTTGAATTGAACGACCGATTCGAGATTAAAACGCCACAATATTTCCTCTATTCCTTCTCATCTTATCAGTGGCGGCGCCAGTTTATTTTTCGCTTGGGCGAAAGCCGGCGGAAAAGTCATCCAGGTCGTCAGTATTTCTAAGTGAAACTGAACAAAATAGAGAGTTTTTGAGTAGAAAGTAGAGCAAAAAAATTCACTCAAAGCTAAAAAACACATTTTTTAACAAATTCTACAGTTTTCAGAGGAATGGCGGTGACGAGATTTCCAAATAGTATAAACTTGCGCTTATTCTGTTCGTTTTTTGATAGAAAATTGGTTGAAAGGGGTCTCAAAACTTTGTACAAAGCGACGAAGGATTCGAAATTTATTTCGTAATTTTGAGCGGAAAATACCTTAAGATTGTCAGCATTTTTGAGTGAAACTTTGGAAGGTTGAGCGTTTAGTAACTTAGGTAAACTACTATTAATAAATGGCCTTTAAAACAAATGTCCAGATTTAGGAAAATCTCCGACAAGGGCAAACTCTCTGAATGTGCCTTTCCTGTTCTAGTCGCCACTTTTCACATATGGGGGAACGATCACAGTGGATTCGATAAAATAATTGAGCTGCTTCTATGCATTGTATAATCATCTAACACGCAACCGCCAATTCCCATAGTGACCACAGGTGTTCGAAGCGGCCATAAGTCACGAAAAAAGCGAAAAACATTCATGGAAAAACCCGGAGTGAAAGGGGGCCGCTGTGACCGCTGAAAGATAAACAGCACTTCCGCCATGGTGACTTACAGGTAAACTCCGGAAACTTCCGGCCATCCGGTCACGCGAAGCGATCACCCTGTAAGATCTCGTTCCCATGCCGTTTTTAATAATGCACTTTAGGGTGGGTGATTAAGAAAAGCTCGTCATATGGTGCCTTATGGGATTGTGGAATTATGCGGGTCGTCACGGGAAGGAAAAAGTTCCACTTGAAGGAAGACAATCTTCGGGTTTAGAAACATTTTCAATTCCCATCTAAACAGGCCTGGCAGCCATCGTCTAATGAACAGTCCGTAAATCCGCTTTTCATTTGAGATTTGGGTGTCAGCAACAAGAAGCACTTCAATATCTACGATTTTGATCGCGATTTGCAACACATTTTTAGGGTTTTTCTGTATCAATACTTCATTGTACATACTTTCCTGACTGTGTTTCAACTCCAAATCAAAATCAATTCCTGGGCTTCAGTCATTTATTGTCTATTTATACTTTTCTCTCTCTCTATTTTGGCCTTGGCAAAAATACATGCCAAGGCGTAAAGTAGCAACAACGCTACACATTGAAACTGATGATGGTGGAAAACACCGAAACGTTTTTTTAATTGATAAATAGACAATAAATGACTGAAGAACCCAGGATTTGATTTTAATTTGGAATTATATTATAAGTAGGTACATAATAAATGTATGCAAATTATACAAGAGCTAATTGATTTAGTACGTGCTTCTAAGGATTATTGAAGCAGAGGGGTCGTATTAGGACAAGACATGAACGCAGATAAAAATTTGTTATCATTAATATACAGAGTGATTCAAACTTAACGCCATAAAATAGGTGTTCTGATTTGGCAATTAGTTCCAGCTGTCGTTTGGTTACATTTGATTAATTAGGGTATAAAAAAATGACAGGAGATCATGACCATTTGGACTTCTAGGAGATGTAAATCATATGGAATCACGCAAACACATCGTCAAATTTATTTCATTGTATCGTTAGGACCGTAATTGCTTCCCGAATAGAACGACCACAATTACAATAAAACAATAAAAACCACCAACCTATTAATGTTCATAGTAATCGCTGTAGATCGTTAGATCAAGTCGACATTTGGCTTTTAAAAATGCATGAATTTGTATTTAAACAATTTTTGCTGAGTACTTGAAAACCAAGGAAAATGTCGCAAAAGATACAATGAAAGGCTAACTTTTACCATACAGTGTTATTTAAATTTTTAAAGCAATGTATCACCATAGAATAATGAAATAATGACCTTTCGCTTCACGTCATAGTTTAAGCAAATTTGTATGCGGCCAAGTTCCAAAACAGACAAACTGACTTCTTTATAAAAGCGTTTAAAAAAAGTCTAGGGGCGCAAATATAAATTCCAATTCAATGAGCCCTGAGTAAGTAGCAAGTAAAGAAATAAATAAATGTATAAATTTGATACTCCTTATATCTCAAATCTTAAACCCGTTTCATCTGTTTGATCTTGATTCCAACTCAAGATGTCCCAGAAAATTTAACGCTCTTTGCATATAATGTGGCTACCAAACATTGGAACTTGACTAGGCCAACCCGGCCTTCTATGAAAATTATTAATTTTGCTAATGTCTGAACTCTTTTGATTCAATTTATTTTAAAAATCAATTAACCTCTCGAACGAAAAAATTGGTTCTACTTTTCTCACCAGTTAGTTGGCCTTGTAGCACAGCGTGAACTGTAGAACCTGATCATCTAAAGCAGGTAGCTAAATAAAAATCAAATATGTTTCGGATAAGCATTGAACCTGATGTTAACAAATTGTCAATATATAATACATGTATGTTGCGTAATTGGGTATAGTTGGGAAATATGTGCCGCTCATTGGTTATATCTAGTATTCGGATGCGGATTCTGAGAAACATCTATGGTACACACTAAATATGCAAATAAATACTGTATAGGTACATAATTAGTGAAATTTTTTCCTTGCTTAAATTGGTAGATGTCATTTCACAGAAAAATCGTACAACAGTGTTACTTTCGCACCTGGATTAAAGATGAACTTGATGGGTAAAATTACAAAGCAGACGCTAATATTATTACCCTTAAGTGCTCCTTTAAGTGGCATAAGATAAGAGCTTCTAACCAGAAAGTATCAGCACTAAAAGTGGTAATTGGTATGCGTCATGCGATCTAAAATAATGAATAAAAAGTTCGCATTCAGGCGTCAATTTTTATGGCATTTTTCACCACTATTTCTTCGGTCTTTAGGTTACGCTTTATTCATTAGATTTCTCCAGTTTTATTCGCAAACACAAATAAAACATTTTATAAAAAAACGAATCAAGAAAAACAATACTTATTAATGTGTTTTGTACGCTCAAAGCCAATTATAAATTTAACTAATTTTGTAAAAAACTAACTGTAAAATTTCGGGTAAACCAATGACTAGTGAATTTGAAAATATATCTATTAACAGTTTTCTAATTTGTTTCGTCATTAGCTCTAAAATAAAAATATGACATTCAGGCGTCAATTTTTTGCACTTTTTCACATTTGACTATTGCCGTAAAGAAGATAACTGCAAATAAAAGAAATGCGAAGGTTTGTTGGAGGAAGTGTTAATTGAAGACGAGGAAATGCGTCATGACACGGCATCAAAACCATCACCTTGCATGAACAGTAGATAACAATCAGCAAGAAACAACGAACATCGCGACAAATCGTCTCCCAAAAGAAAAAGTTGTGGATGAAGGAGTAGGGGGTAGATTCTCATAATGATGTGTATAATAAAATAAAGATGATCATTAAGGAAGTTAACATAACATTTCTAGAGAAAGAGTGCAGCGAAGAGTGGAGGACATGGCACTTAAAGAAAATAAAAACCATTTAAACTTTCTTCATAGTGTTACAGTAACATTATTATCGCGTTTGATACTTTTAAAATAATTCAAGAAATCGAGAAACGTCTATCTCTCGATTTGCGGTCATTGCTTGAAGCCAGGAAATTTTCGGGCTTTTCTTTCGGCCATCATAGAAAATAATTTCTTCTTGACGTTTCGCAGACACGAGTGGCATGCATCTTCAGAGGTGGGTTGCTTGACGCAGCAACCAACCAGCTTCGATTAAAGAAATATTCATTTTCCACCAAGAATTTCAGCAAAGTGCAAAAAGTAAACCAATCGCGATCAGACTAGGGTTTTAGTTGGTTATGATGATTTTTGTATGTTTCATTTTCGTCGTATCAATTTGTTTTACATTTTATATTTATTTGATTTTTGAAACTGTACAAAGCAATTAAATATATATGTTACGTTGCGATTTTTTTGCAATGATTTAGCGAACCGTTAAATATTACAAACGGCTGTAAACTACAACACAGAAGTCCCGATGAAAATCCACTAAAACACAAACAAAGAAAGAAAACAATACTTATGAATGTGTTTTATACACTCGTCAAATAAAATTAGCTAGTCTTTCAGCAGCATAAGAATTGTTTATCAAATGTTTGCCATTATAGAACCAATTATGCATTTGCCTTATCCTGTATAAAGTAAACAGTGCAATTTCGCATAAACTAATGACTAGTGAATTTGAAACTATACCTAATCTATTAACAAGCAATAATCTAGTTTCAATGCGAATTGAACCAGCTAAGAAAGTTTGCTTATGAATGCCGTGCGGTATAAAATTACGATAAAAATTATCGGGCAAAAATGTGGGATTTGCCACAAAATACGCCGGTTTGTTTCAATTTATTTTGGCTCCGTAAATTCATACGGCTGATTTCTGGCTGACTGTGTCCCCATGTATCAGCGGAACTCCAAAATTAGATTAATCAGCACTTTCCAAACGGTTTTCTTAAAAGTGGATAAGTGTAATTAATAGAAGTGGGCAGACAATTTTGTTGAAAGAAACAAAATGGTTGTTAATCAGAAATACCTGTTTGAACCCAATTTTTTGGTACTTATCACAGCGTATAAAACGTTTTGTTTTTAGAAGATATCAACTCTTGAGATCCGAAGATGTAATTTCAGTTTATATGTTGATAGTGCGTTTGATATTGTTGTTCATTGCATGGGAATAGGGTGAATACAGATATCGATAAATGTTTATCAATAAAGTACGCTTTGGTTGTTCAAAATCAGGCATTTTTTCTGTAACGATTCCATAGATTATAGGTATTCCATTAGAATTCGTCAAATACATACCTACCTAACGTGTTTTCAATGTAGGTATGGAAAATGCTGTTTCATCTAAAATCGAAATATTTTACAAATTGCAATCTTAACCGGAAAATAGATCATGTCCTTTCCTTTCTGCTTAGACAACACTGACCACTAACAACTAAGTATGCATAGTCTACATGTAATATTTATAACACTATTGCGTGAAATGTAACTTTGATTGGAATTTAAGCGAACGTTAGCAAATTCGTAGTTGTGGGTCACGAAAAATTGTGTTTTGTCTTTGCAGCCTACACAATTATTTAAAAAAAAGCTTTGCATATTATTACATATTAAATAACAAGGTTGGTTTGGTGTCGCATTTATTTCCTTGTTTCCAACATTTGTTATTTGTTTCATGTGCTTTATCTAATATAGTAGGTAGAATAAAAACGCATTTCGAGCACAAGTACAAAATATTCATTCCTATCGCATAATAATTTGCGATCCAATAGAGGAAAAAGAGATCCAAATTTTTCATTTTCGTTGTTCGCAGTTCAACCGAATTAAACTAGTTGAATTATACAGTGTGAATGTAAAGAATATAACATTTTAAAAAAGTCTATACCGATGAAAGCAAAAAAATACACGCAAAATTGGTCGTTTAGGGGGTTATTTCGAAAACCGTTGCAGATACCAAGAAACTGCTATGGGCTTTATGAGTTGGATTTTTGAGAAAAAATCTGGTTTTAATTTTTCCTTCGTTTATTAGATAACAAAACTGAAAAACTGCTTATTTGAATTTACCTCTTACACTGATTTGTAGATTCTTTATTACGCGAAATATAAAAAGATCTATTTATTTTTTCTCCGGCCAATTTGAGAAAAAATGGGAATTTTTACTAAAAGCCATAATCACGTTTCGTCTTTCAGATACCACTCTGGTATTTTATTAATAAATTATTAATTAATTTTCATTCGCTTCTGTATTAACTCAAGGAAACCATAAGAAGGAACTGATAACATTTTAAAAAATTCTGTAATAATGAGGAGAAACCCATAATATTTGCCACACTGGCATTAAATCCCTAAACGTTACTAGGTATGTACTAATTTTTTCTGTCTCCTTATTTAAGATTTTTTTGTGAATGTTTCATGTTTCGCCACAATTATTTTTAAAAAGCTTTCCGATCTTCTCTCTGCATAAGCACTAGACAATTTTGGCCTCTTAATTCTTCACAACAGAATTTTCCTACTGTTCATCAAAAGTGTTTTTCAGCGCATTTGCCGTTGAAAAGCCAATAAATAAATGTAAACAAATCTTAAATTGATCAAATATTTTAACACCAGCAGAAACGTGTAACTGCATTTAACTAATAATTGAATTACCTACCCACTGATACAAATTAGGAAAAATAAAGATGCATATTTACTTTTCCCAGATATTGTTCCTGTTATTAACAATTTCCTGCATGCGAAAGATTAGATTAGAAATAGAGCAAACTGGTAACCAAAAAATGATAAATGATATCTTAATTTTATTTCCCCCAACTGTAAATGTCCAGTATAAGCCAGTAAATCTTAAATTAATTAACTCGTTACAAGTAATTGAGTATGCGATTTGTGCTCTAAGACATTAAATGACAAGCGTCCGTCTGGCTCTATATTGAATTATCTGGCTAAACTGTTTAACCTCCTTGCTCCTGCTGATGTCACTGACAATGCACTTTTTAATTTCCTTACATGTTACCAAAAATTGTCTGGATTTTTGCTTAAATTAAGTTGTTTTGTTTCAGCTCAACTATTATTATTCTATGCCATTTTCTATGTGATATTAGCCGCTCTATTCGCAATTTGCATGCAAGGCTTGTTCGCCACTCTCAACGATAAAGAGCCCACATGGACTCTGGATAAAAGCTGGATCGGAACGAATCCTGGTTTAGGGGTGCGACCGGTTTCTAACCGATTCGAAGAAGGTTCACTGATCTGGTACAATATGACCAATCAGACCCAAATCGGCAAATGGGTTCACTTGATCAACGACTTTTTAGCACGTAAGTTTTACTACTTTTTCAGACTGGGTTTGTTTACCAGTTTACTGTGAAACTGTAGGCTGTAGTTACTGTTTTTGTCCTCACAAGAAATGCATGTTTTTATTTGGGTTTCAATTGCATTTAAATAATTTTGGCGTCAGAGTCATGTGGTTTGGAGATTTCGTAACTTTTAAGTGCCCTCATCTGTACGAATTAAAGTAAAACAAAATCTTAAGAGTCGCATGACTAACTGCCGGAAGGAACAATTTTCAACTCTTTTATTTATTCTCAATTTTTCAATGATTACTAATTTTTCGCATTTTATGTTTCTGATGATCCAGCATATAATGCCAGTCAAACAGGAACAAACTACGTGAATTGCGACTTTGATAAACCGCCTGGAGAAGGACAAGTTTGCGCAACCGATTTATCAAAGCTGGGCAATTGTAATCATGGTCGTGCTTATGGCTACAACAGCTCATCACCCTGTATATTTTTGAAATTGAATCGGGTAAGACAGGCTCGAGTGAGCTCGGCCCGGTGATGGTCCCCTTTATATCTTGCAATAGTTTTTCGTTTTTGGTTCGTAGATTATTGGATGGGAACCGGAGTATTATACAACGGCGCAGGCTGATATGCCGGATGAGTTGAAAATTCACATTCAAAATGTAAGTTTTTGCAAAAATTACATGTTAATGAGACAAAAGTGCAAATCAGCAAAAGTGCAACGAGACTATGCTCTGCCTGTTCTAAACCAATTTAAATTTTGCCGGTCAGAGCCAAATAATTTTGTAGAAATCATTTTTGTTCACATTAATAATAACGCTTAGTTTTCCTAACTACTTACAAGCTTTGTCTTAACTAATTAATAAAAATCTATATTTATCGTATCTTCGCCTTGTTCAATTAATCATGTTTATCAGTTATAAATAAAACACCCTAAATATGCCGCATCCGTGAAAGTTTCGTGTCTAATTCGTAGTGTATTATTTGCTACCAAACATGCTTTTATGAATATTTTAAATGGTTAAATATGTCATGGAAACAGTGTCTTTGATTACTGTGATATGCGTGGAAATAGGAAAACCAATAAGCAATAAAAATTTTGTTATTCGGACATTTAAGCAAAAGAAAGTTCTAACAAGTTTGTGTTCAAACATTGTCATTGATTGTTTTTATGCCCGGAAATAGGAATAGGAAATGAAAAAAATCACAAATCAATAAAAATCAGCTGAGTAAGAGTAAGTTCTGACGAGTTCATTTTCAGAAATACAGAGTGTTCAAACTGAAAGGCGAAATTAGCCCTTTCAGAATATCGACAAAAATATTAAGTTATTTAGGAGAAACCGTTTTTTATTCCAAGGGCGCATTTCCGGATCAATACTTATAGGTATAAACGCTATAAACTTTTCTTCTTAAAATTACTCAGAGAATCTCCTTCTGAAGTCTGTATACCTTCTGAAATAACAGCATAAATCAGATTGGAAATATGAATAAATTTTGTTTGTTTTGCTTGTTGATCTTGTTCCTTTCAATACGACCGGAATTGGCGCCACAACAGGAACCAAAGGAAATTTGCGACTGACATGTTTGTAATTATTTTGCTTTTGCTTAGAATACAAGCAGCGAGCTCGAAAAAAAGCAAGTGTGGGTGTCTTGTCAAGGAGTGGACACCATCGATCGGCAACACGTCAAGGAATTCCGTTATTATCCACAAGGATTTGCCAGCTATTATTATCCCTATAGGAATTATCCAAATTATTTGAGCCCAATCGTCGCGGTGGAGGTTATCAATTTAACTCGTAAGTATTTTTCCATATAATTGTATTAATGTAATTTGTCGGAAAGACGGCGGTCGATTGAAGAACTGTACCGAAATATCCACTTATGTCTGACCTTAATAATCCTCTGAGAAATACACATAAAATCGCCAGGCATTGGGAATGACGCCCGGATTTATTTTTAACCCGTCCTACATATTCCAGAGTTATATAGTTCTCTGTTCCTGTTCTCCACGATAATTATTCGATTACGTTTCAGGAGCAACGGCGTCAGAATAAGCAGTGCCAAACACAGAAAAAAGTATCCAGACATAATAGTAATGAATAGGAACAGTGTATTCCGTCCAAAACTAGTTTTAAAAAGTGCCAATTCAAAAGGAATGTCCCGCTTATACACAATTTTCAAATATATATTTTTTTTAATTGATGCTGGGAACAAATACATTTAAAAACTTATAGGATGCTTACGTTGCTTAAAATATCCATATTTGTGGTTTGAGGGAAATAAAGGGTGATTAATTTAAAGTGTTATTTTGCGAATAATAACGCCTCACAAAATGCTTTACCTTCAAATGCTTGGGAAAATTCGACGAATAAATAGAATTGCAATACTTAAATTAATATTTATAACCTACTTGGTACTTGCTGTTCAATCCGACGTTAAAATTGCTACCATGTGTGCGGTTTTTCTTTTAATTTCACTTTACACGTTTATTTTTGGTTGGCCATTAAATGAATCTAAAAGAAACGAAACGCAAACATTTTTCGGTCCGTTATAACGTTCTAATTCTATGATACATTGAGTATATTGAGAGTAAACAAAATCCTGTTATCGAAGAACTGAAACAAGTAAAAATGGACAACCAAATGAGAACAAAGATTGAAGAAATTTGAAATCTAAAAGGAGTAAGAAAATAATGTAGAAAGAAACTCATTTACAAGTCAACAATACATCATGTAACAATCACTACAAAACTGTTTTAAATTGAATTTTTGAAACACTAAAAATATCAAGCAATTAATTATGTTCGTAACTTCGTATTTTGGCATTAGGTTTGGTAAATTCTTTGTAGCGCTCTTTAGTTTTATTTTTTAGTTTAAGCGCTTTGCGTATTCCAGTCTTTGAAACTTTAGAAAACATTACTTAGTTCCTTACCTGATTAACTTCTGCTTGTTTTACATATTTTTTTAATAGCTGCGTTTAAATTATGTGAAGTAACATTGAGGAGAATTGTTCCTGTCAAAATGACACTGAAATCCCACATTCTTAACCAATTTTGTCAAATTGGATAGACAAAGTTTAGGGCAACCAACAATACCCAAGCCGCCTTATATTTGAATGAAGTAGTCCAAGTCTTATTTTACTTGTTCAAGTCCTTTTCACTTATAGTTTCATAACTTATATGAGCAAAAACCATATAAAACATCTTTTTCTTGAAATCCATGTAGATTTTCCTTAATTATCTTTTTTTCTTCCGCACTAATCACATTAGTATTAAAAATGGAACGGCAATATTTCAATGCAATTAGCGTAATAAAGGCAAAAAAACACCGACAAGAGTTGAACAAACAAGGGAGGTTTTCATCGATATAAGGGTGTTGGCATATCTATTAAAAGCAGAAACCGGCCTGAACTGCTTCAGCCCAGCCCTTCTAAATCCCTTGGGACAACTGAGTTTATGCCGGTGGAACCTATTTAGGGCGAGGTCAGGAGACATCCAGTCAGCAGGATGTATGATAGACTATGCCCATTAAAGGGACTTAATTGAACCTTAGTCAACAACATATTTTATGCCTCGACAATTTCTGGGTTTTAGTCGCAACGTTTTGTGTGACTTATTTCCGCCCACAGTTTTACATTAAAGCTCCATTATAGACTGATGGAGGCAGGATATACTTTCAATAAAAAAATATGACAAATACAATAGTATCTGCGGTTCCTTCTGTATATGCTGACCAGGAGTAGACAAAATTACTGGCTTTGAAATTCAAAATTCATAAAAAATAATATTTTACCAAAGTTTTAACAAATTTTTGTTTGATTTTCAGCTAATGTTATCATCAGTATTGAATGCAGAGCCTGGGCAAAAAATATCATATACAGAGGCGGGGTTCTGAACAGAGCCGGATCGATTCAATTTGAGATGCAAGTGGACGCAGCAACTGAATCGCATAAATAAAGTGTCTCAAGTTAACAACAGTATGGCTTCAGTACTTATTTTTATACTTTGTTTTTGTCGTATTTACTTAGGTCAGTGTAGGTTGTGCCTTATACTATTTAATCACTTATTCTGCTAGATACTTATTATTTTCTTAATGTAGGAATGATGCAAGAGCGCGTGTCCAAAGCTTTAAACTCGGGCCTTATCTGTATGTATGTTTGTTTTCGATAAATATAAAGTGTTTAATATTTATGTGCCTTGGTATTGTAAGTCTACAAACTAATTTGTCGGATCAAATAGTAAATTATTCATATGTATTTTTTAAAACGTTCTAATATAATTTTGATAATGATATGTAACTATACGTTTAACTACAAAATTACTATACCTATACTAGAAAAAGTGTGCGCTTTTGAAAATGGTAGTAGGTACATTCATTCGAACAAATCTTAATACATACTTATAGATATATAGAACTAACCATGTCATGTGTTCTCTTTTGTTGTGATATAGACTAGAAACTTGTAGCTTATTAACTTAAAATTTAAGTTGATGTTTTCAACCTAAATTTAATTAACTATTCCTTTGAACTACTATAATAAAACGCATTTGGAATCGGCCTCACGAATCGACTATTTCAATATATTTCTCTTGGTAGAATTAGTCAGACAACATAACAAACCGACAAGTTTGTGCCTTGGAAATGAAAAGAAAATATTTTCTAAATAAGACCAACACAAAAGAGACACATATTGAAATGGTCATTTTATACTAGACATAAGTAAAGGTACAAAATCAATTTTGTTTGTTTGAAATTTTCGTTTTATATTAATTATTTTGAAATAAACTGATGACTTTTCTGATATATTTTACATCAAGGTTTAATTTCTTTCCCGAGCTTTTAGACTTTATTTACATTTGAAAAAATGACTGAAATTCTATGGAATATTTAGCATTCAATCATATCACATTTGATAAATCTTCCGTCGAAAGCGATCTATTCACGACTAGTCGTGTTTACCGAAAAATTAACGATGTTAGTTTAATGACAACAACATTGAAAAATATTCTAGATCAACATCATTAAAAAGGAATAAATACAATACAATATTTTAAAGGTAGGAAAACGGTTTAATCAATATCTATGACAAAATCTGGTTAGAAACTCAGCTACGATAGTTGTTGAATATTTAATGACTCAGGTTTTCTTGTGGCTTTGAGATGATGGCAAATCAACGAAACTAAAGTGTTTGTGACGACTGGATCAACTTTATTCACATACTTTGAACAGTAAGTGAGGAGCAGCAAACATTTGCATATTAGTATTTTGCCACAACGCTTTAAATTTTTATTTGGTCGCCTAAATTGTGGCATTTTTCAGGTTTAAGTGCATAGGGCGATGGATTTAAAATTGCCAAATTCACAAAACGAGCAGTATTTCACTTCCAGGACTTCAACTCCTCTACCAAAGAGGAAACCTTTGGATAATCAAAAATGCAGTATTCAATATCAAAAGTTTTGCAAACATCTTGAAAAACGGTTAAACTTCCCGGAGCCGGTGAACCAAGATTTCAGTATATTAATATCACAACACCTACGAGGTGAGCCTATTTTTTGGCATCAATTTAGCTATAAGTAAAAAACTCTTTCTTGTAGACCGCTGCCGACTTTCGGAAAAACATCTAGACAGATTCAATAAACTCGAAATAGAAGAATTTGACTTAAAATGTACAATTTCAACGAAAATTCGCAAAATACTGGATTCAAGTTGTAAAATAGTGGCCAATGTTACTAAAAACGTTTTTAGTAAGTCACATTTTGATACACCAAGGTGAAAATGGTTTTAATTATTACAAAAAAAGCAATTTATAGATATACAATACAGTTTTAAGAGTCCCAGTGAATAACTTACATAAGCTTGGGCATATTTTACTCCGATGACAATTACTGTTTGTAAATAATTTATATTTTTTTATGTATTGCATACATATCATGTCAAACTAATGCTTTGTAATGTGGTACACACGTGTATTAAAAACGAATTAAATTTTGATAAATGTTCAATGTTTTAGTTTTTGTTCTAGCAATGTTCGAACATTTTTTTGATGATCGATTATTACTAAAAATGAATAAAATACAAAACAATAAGTCCACTTTTAAAATGCCGATTCAATTAATACTTTAATCGAGTCAAGTTTAATGGAAAACACTTCATTTACTAAGGATTAAATATTAAATTTAAGACATACAGGGTGGTTTTTTAGTGCGATAGAGTCCATTATTTCCGTTGGTGTTGAACTTTCGAAAAATAGTTTCATATAAAAGTTGTTGACGCACAAAGTGCGCACATTTTAAAAATATCTTATATGATACAGAGTGACTCAGAAAATCGAAGCAAGATCAAAGTGCATTTTTTAAAATAGAACTACCCACTTCTCATTAGCTCATGGAATGCAGCTTGAAACGCTGCATATGCACTGTAAACTGTTTTTTTCTTGCTTGTGACGTTGGCAGATTATCGCCATTTTAGTAAAATTTTGCTTAAAAACATGGTATCCAAAAATTCATTGTATAAGCAAAAAAAAGCAGTTAAAGATACAAAAAAAATACGTGTGTCCAACCACCACAGATCCCTTAAGAATTCTATTGAACTAAATTCATATATCATTATTCATAATATCAAAATATCAATACATTGTACAGGGTGTTAACAGTGTGCACTTCAATCTAAAACTTTTTAACGCAATATAACTTTTGTTTTTCAAATGGAAGTACCTATATATTAATACGTCATTATATAGACAATTTGCAAATTTGCATTTACACTTAAAGCTGTGAAATCAACCGTTTTCAAATTACAAATTATTTTATTTAAAAATTTCAAAAAGTTGTTAGATTTTGTAAGGTGGCTCCGAATCATATAAGACATTTTTAAAATGTGCGCACTTTGTGCGTCACCAACTTTTATACGAAACTATGTTTTGAAAGTTCAACACCAACGGAAATAATGGACTCGGAAATATCGCACTAAAAAACCACCCTGACAAATAACGACAAAAAGCCGACACCACGACAAATAAAACGTTGTCGGGTTTCACCTCTTTCGTTTAGAATAGAGCAATAAAAATCGATAGAAAATTTGGCGATTTGCTAAGCTCTGTAAAGCAAATTCTAAATATCAAACACATTAAGGAAAAACAAAACAAAAATTTGAAATAATAATAATAATAAACTTTATTAATATACATACTTTTTGTACAGGAAAACTAAATTAATTTGTTAATGATTAGTGAAGTCCAAATGGCCTTAAGCCGTGTGATACACTTAAACCTACATTGGAACTCTAAATAACAATTAAATCAACAAGGAGGTAACAACTGCTCTTGCAAACGTTACTATTTTACATCGAATACAAACCTTTGCAAGAGAGTGCTTAGATCGTCTCTTATATAAGCCTATTTTATTGTGTTCACTCATATCACAGTATTACTAAAAGGTCAGTGGATGATGGATTAACGGATTATTTTTAACTTAATTGGAAAAAAATCGGGAATAGTGACGACACAAATGAATAAAACATTTTCGGTTACGAACTTACAAGTGGTAAAATCTCCTCAGATTTTTTTTTGCGTACACCAAATTAATGGGAAAAAACAAGTAAAACTACGATCATCATTAAACCCTTTTACATCTGATTTCTGAGTGAACTTTCAACAAACATCACACTTAACCCAGTATTAATTTCGATAGCTTTCATGTACCGTTAAACAGTATTCAGTACAGTAATAAGTCTTTTAATACCTGTAATATAATTAGAAGTAAATGTATCGTTAAAGAACTGTACAGTCTCTAATCTATCATGGATAGAAGGATAGTTTTTAATTAGACTTATTTATAGAATTACCATTTAAGTCCAAGATCAGTTACTCTTGTGTATCATTATATATTTTTCCTTCAAACTGTTAATCTGAATTGTCATTTCATTGCCCTGAAAAAATCAATGTGTGTGTCATTGTGGCGCTAAGTATGCCAGAAACTGATAAAATCTGCTAAATAAAACACGAAGAAAACATTAAAAAGTTGTTCTGTTGATATTTTAAATTCGACCAAAGACATTTTGATACCCTAACATTCTGCATATACTCAACAGTTTATAGAAGGAATATTCTAAAATGGCAAGTACATTAGTTCTTGAAAAAATGTTCCAACAAATCAGAAAACTTGTAAACGAAGAGCTCCTGGAATCAATAAAAAGTGAACACGTACCCACTGCAGGTGAATACATTCATATGCACATAATTGAATTATCCACTCTGCAGTTCAGCAGATAGTTCATTGAACATTAAATATTTCACTCCTTTAATAAAGATAAACTATCCTTGACACTGAAAATATGCCATACATTCTGAGCTTATACATATTTCACATCTTTAATACTTAGAGTTATATTCTAGTCATGTCAATAAGTTTGTTTGTGATTTAACAGCGTGCAAATGGTGCGAATACAAATATCTCATCTCAAATGTTGAAAGCAATATTGAATAACCTCGCTGTTAATTCAGTTGCTCAAAAATTCAAAAAAGTCGGCCGGATCAACAATCAAATTAAAAAATTGCTCCTGAACAATCGCATGCTGGTAAATCACAAACTGTTGAAAACAACTGAACACCTGTTAATTAAAAATAAAATATATATATTTATAGTATATACACATCTATAAAAAATACATTCCAAGACAAAATATGACCCTATGATAATCTAGATATACAATATATACAACAATCCTGACTTGGACTTGGCAATGATTCCTAAAGTAATTTACAAAATATCCTATGGAGGTCTTGAACAGCATGCACTAACGGTGTAGGTATATTTAAATAATTTAATTTCAATAAATTGACCGCAATCAACGGATTTAATATATAAAATCAATGCACAATGCCTGCATATCAAACCCGTTACAAGTGTTTAGAACAATTTAGTGGACAGAATATTGTCATGTTAAAGGTGTATTAAAAAAACTCTATAGAACTTCGTCGGAATTAGTTAACTAATTATTTTATTTAGCAGAAATTTCATTGAATTCCTTCTAATTTTTCTATGCTGAATGTCTGCAAATAGAAGAATTTATCTATGTTAATATCTGCACCAACAGACCATCTACAATTTGGTACCTCAAAATAGGATATTCAAATTCACTTAACAAACTTAAAAATTCTTTCATTAATTCCATCATTCAGTGAGAATAAGTCGAAAAAAAACAAAAATTAAACGTAAGAAAACTTACTTCAATCTGTCTAAAACCCCTTTGAGTTTCTGATCAGATATGGATGGCACTAATTTTTGCACCAGTTCGGACACAAACATATCGCTGATACCAGGACTCGTTCGTTCGGCTATTTCAAATGCATTCTTCAATTCTTCTATGGCGTCGCTTGACTTGTGAGATCTCTCAGCGCTACCCCTGCCTGAGAAAAAAGAAAAAAAAAACAAAAGTTTAGATCGTTTTTAAGCTTGATTACTAATGGCTAACATCAACATCAAGGTAGGTACTCTAAAAAAGATAAGTATCTTCCTAATATGACGCGGTAAAATAGATAGATAGACAGATAAAAATTATACATTCACATTGGTATAAGCACAATCAAAGTTACAACAAATATAAGGTCCAGGAGAGGAGGTCCTCTCTCCGGGGCGCAACCATTTTTAGACGATTAACGCCACATCGACGTCCTCATACTCAGGATTATGCTTACCATTGTAATGATGCCTCCTTTGCAAATCTGACATTAACGGGTAAATAAATCCGGTCAATGTTGACGGTCTACCCTCTCGCAGATCGCTTTTAGCTTGTCCTGAATTACCCGACGGCGATTTAACACTCTGCTTTTTGCTTTCTGAAAAAGACACTTTTTGTTTCAACTTACTGCACTTCTTATCATTACATGTACACATTTAGTTCAACATTTCAGTAAATATTATTTTCACTTGCACACATTCGACTTTCATTGATAAATATTACATATTAATAAAAACACACCAGGAGGTCAATGTATTGCCAGTGGAAAAATTGCGTGACTGTTTACTTTCTCTTTGAGTGTTTGAATTAATGATAACAGAAGATAAATGAACTTGCCTCTGACTTCTGACTGAAAGCCAACATCTCCCCGATGGTCCAATGGGGTGGCTTCTTTTGAAATTGATTGTTGAGGGGCTGCGTTGCGTTTCTCCCGTTCTTTGTCTCGATCTCTATCACTTCGATGGTGATGGTCGCGGTCGTTTCGCTCCTTTCGACTGTCCTGGACAGGCTGCGATGGCTGACTTACTGGCTGTAATTGAAGAAAACCGAAAAAATATTTTATTATTTAAGTAATTAAATACTTGATTTTTATTCCAGCATTATTGCACAGTTCCGAATACATTTTCATATGAGTGCATTCAGCAGTTTACATTTCAACAGATATAATTAATTAGCTAACAATTACAACTAGTATGTTGCATGCCGTAGCGTATAAACCGCATGTCGGTGAATATAAAAGATTTTTGTTTGCTCTCAAAACAATATAAAACTAATTAAAATCGCATGCGATACAGGAGCGAAACTTGGACAGACCTGCAAAGTTTTCTCCGGTCTGTAGTGATTTAAATTGGCATCCGTAGGAGGCGATCGAGCAATGGCTGAGGTGGATCCATTCTGGTAGGTCGTGTTATGATTCGAGGTTGTGATCTCTTCTGAGTGCATTTTCAAATGATTTCCCTTCACCGTCATAACCCAATCGGTTGATTCGATATCGCTGTCCTGTTTGGGTTCGTCCCTAAAAGATCATGTGAAATCATTGAACGGTCTGAGGCTGTTTGAAGCAGAAACTTACGAGTCTGAATGTTCGGATTCGGTTTCACTTTCCTCGTTTCGCGTGCACTTCCATTTCTTATACCTATCAATTAGATCTATTAAATACGAATTCTTCTTTGCTTTTCTAATAAACGGGTATTTGAGCAATTCTTTGGCTGTCGGTCTCTGCAAAATCAAAACAAAAATTAAATTTAACCGTCCGCTGTTTACTGAAAGTCAAACGTTACATTTTCAGGGTCTTTGTTCAAGCACGCCTCCACAAACTCTTTGAACTGTTTGCTGTAACTGCCGGTAAGTTGAGGCGGGCTATTTTTTGGTATCAGAAACAGAACCCTCATCGGATGCAGTTCTGAGTTCGGAGGCTCTCCTTTTGCCAATTCAATTGCGGTTATTCCTAGAGACCATATATCTGCTTTCGAATCGTAAGCCGACTGTTTTATCACTTCGGGTGCCATCCAAAACGGAGTCCCTGAAAAAATGGGGAAAAACAATTTTACTTTTAATGAGTTAAGCATACATAAACCAGGTTGAATGTTTCATAGGAAATTATCGATCAGATGTTTTTGTTATTAAAGTGGTCTATACATGATGCGGTGCCGGTGACTAACATAAACTTGAAGTTTAAGAAAAATAAGATTATTAGGCCTTCAACCACATGTTTCGCACATAATCTGGAAATTCCGATATTAAAGAAGACTTAGTTTCATAGATATGACATCAAATGAGATTAACTTATCTAAGAATGACTCCTTTTCTTATCATCTTTGATATGTTTTTTCTCTGAATAAAAACTGGTTGAAGTTTATTTTTTGAGGTGTTTTAGGAGTTTTAGAACACTGCTTGGAAACTTTCAGATCCATTTTTAACATCCGCGTTTTAGTAGATCATTTGCCTCATCAGACTCACCCACAAACGTATTTCTTTTGCTTGTCGTATTGGTAAGCTGTCCAGCCACACCAAAATCAGCCAATTTCACGTCTCCCATCTCACTTAGCAGCACATTTGCCGCTTTGATGTCCCTGTGAAGTTTGCGTTCACTATGTAAGTAATCCAGCCCTTTCAGTACTTCACGCAGGATAATTGCAATGTGCATCTCCTCAAAATTGCCGGCTTTCATCAAGTCCAATGCTGAGCCACCTCCCAAATATTCCATGATAATCCACAATTTTGTACCCTGAAAAAAAATTATTTATCATTTGATTTAATATCTAACAGCTTTTGTGCAGTTTATAACTTTTTCGTTTTCATTTAAGAATCAATTCCAGTACCATTTTCCAAATAATGAGACCCTAAATTGAATACTTCTATTAGGTATTTATTGTTTGCAAATTGCTGCATGATAACGTGCCTAGAAATAAAAGTAATTTACTGCATTTTTCAAGCAAGCATATTTATGAAAGCCTTACAAATTAGGCAAATTTGTGTTGACTATTTTTTGCCTCTTGTATTTTCCTTCAAATCTTCCATGATTATACTGTACATTTTTTTACCTTCTTTTTTATTATTTAATTTTAAATGCCTTCCATTAACCCCTTCGTATTAGTTTCCTAGCCTGCAAATACTTTCCGCAATTTCAGCATGTTCATTCGGCAAAAATAACTATAAGATTTTTATTACTGAGGTCAGGAATTAGGAGTATAGATCGTGCAACAGAAGCTTTAGGCTCTACATTTATTACACTGAAAACCTATTGCCTATTACAAGTATTAACTACTTTAGTTTAATTTATTAATAATTTATCTGTATTGGGAGCCTATAATATAATAGTGAATTTAATATTTTGAGCCTCTCGGATTAATAAAATGTTTTAATTATTTTATGACTGGATCGTCGTTAATGATTAATTATGAGATGTAAATATTTGCGAAATGATTACGTGGACGATGAGCAATTGAAGAGCTTCGTACGTTTTATGAATAAGAATACAACACTAAATTTAGCAATAAAATTGTGTAACCACAGTAATTTGCCATTGCAAAATTCCTCATAATACTCTTAGTGAAGAGGTTTTTTCTACTAATGTTTGTACTCAAAAAATGGCCACTCAAAAAGAGAAGAAAGTAGCAAGTTATTTAATAAGACAAAAACACACAGAAACAGAAATCCGGGAAAACAATAGATTATTAATTGAAACGAAAAATAATGGGCTGACATAACAAAGTCCTGAGGTTGATAAAGGACCGAAGAAAACATATAAATGCCAATGAAGAAAAATGTACCGAAATCCAAAAACGCAAATAAATTTAAAAATTAAATGAAAAAAACTAGCATTAATTAGTTTATTGCTCAAAATCTAATCCCAGCAATCCTATAATCGTTTTATTTTGGTAAGTGAATCAGCCTGGCTGCAATCTACGGATTCTCAAATAATCTAATCAATACCAGGAACAGATAGCTAGAGAATCCCTGGTTGTACAAAAACCAAATAAAGAATAAATCAATGAGTATATTTTTTATAAATCACTATCTTTAAGGCACATTATCTTACCTTAAGGTAGGATCCAAAATACTTGGTGACATAAAGGCTGTCACACTGGGAAAGCACCATGATTTCCTGCTGAATATCTTCGATTTCATCTTCAGCTTCTTCTAGATCAATGATCTTGATGGCCACAACTTGTGTCGTCCGATTGTCAATTCCTTTGAAAACTTCGCCAAAGGATCCTTTACCGATTCGCTCCTGCTTAGTGAATATTAGTTCTGGATCGACCTTCTGGAAAGGAAAAATGTTTTATTATAAACCCTACTTCACATAGTTTGTATAAAATATGGGACATTAATTGTTCAAATTTTATTTAAATTATAATAATTATTCCAATGAGTAGCGAGTGTTAATAAAAATGTATTTATCAAATCTTCACCATCTGGAACTATCACATTTGTTTGAGTGAGCTAATTTTTGTTTTTGCAGAATTTGTAAAGTATAAAACTAAATCGACATTAAACCAAGAGTAAACAAAAAATGTTAACAAAAAATGCACTGAACAATTGCAAATTGAAACATAAAATCACGAATTATAGTGAAGAAAAATATATTTTTCAGTTTTTCGTTAACAACGACTGCAGATTTCCAAAAGTGCCATTTTGACAAAAATTATTTTCTCAAAAACTATAAAAAATTACGAAAAACCCCAGTAGTAAAAACATTCGCGCTTATACCTTATACATATTTCTAAAGTTTCAAACCCATTTCTCAACCACATTTTTGAAAAATCGCAAAAAACAACCGTAAAAGGACAATTTTCCAAAAACTCGCGGAATATTATACTCTGGAAAAAATAATCCCCATTGAATCTTCTACACGCGGCCAAAGTTTGAAACCAAAACCTACACTAGATTTTTAAAAAATCGCAAAAAATCAATTTTTTTTCCAGGAAACTAAAATAAATTTCAGACTATTTTGCTAAAGCACAGTTTTTTAACCGTCTCAATAACAAAGTTTAAGGTCAAAACCAGAACCAGATTTTTGAAAAACAGTGAAAATACGATCAAAAACCCCCATTTTAAATATTTTTCAAAAAACAACAGCAAATTTAAAAAAAAAACGAGCTTTAGCAAAAAATATTCGCTTGAGTCTCCGCCCGACCAAAATTTCAAAAAAAGCCGTGCTTTATGAAAAATATGTCTCCTTGAGTAGTCTCAACAGCACCAAAGTTTGAGGTCAAAACCAAAACCATATTTTCAAAATTAGCGAAAAATACGGCCAAAAAGCACAATTTCGATTTTGTTCCGAAAAACCATAGTAAAATTGAATAAAACCCACCCCAAATTATTAACTGTTGAATGAATGAATGAATTTAACTAATTAATAATAAGTTATTAACTAATCAACTCTTATGATTTGATTAAACTTTTTATGTAACCGATTTACTTAGTTATTCCGTGTTAATTGTTAAATGTGTTCAAATAGTTGCATGTTCTCTTGCATATTAAATTATGAACTTGATTGTTAATTAACTTGTTGATGCAATTGCTACGAATCTCAAGCAGCAACCTTAGAAAGCACACAACGAATGATCCTTTCGAATTTAGTTGACTTGTGGTGTAATAAACGAAATCGCTCAAGCAAGCATTTAAGCAAATGTCATTTACGCGAATGTGCATTAATAAAAAAAAAACAAACTGGTTTACCATATTTTCAAACAGCTAATAGATACAAGGTATGGTTACAGATGGGAGAATCCGATTTCTTTTTTTGTTAATTAATCACTTGAATGGCAGTGGTAAACATAAATTACTCAGGCCGATTAACGAAGACACGCTAAACGGCTTATTGGCATATTCAATCACAGAAGGGATTACCGACAAAACGAATTATTTTGAACATTTTGTAACATTTGCCTACATTGTATTTTACAACTTTAAACGATTTTACCATTTATTTGTTGAATTATTACTATTGCTTTATTTGTATTGTTTCGACCTGTATCAAAACGCAAACCTCTAAAAAACTGCAAAAGAAGTTTCAATAAAACGGAATTTTTTTAAAGAGTAGCAAAAGATAAGTATACAGAATATTTTGAGTGTCCGCAAGTTTTCAAATACGTTACCAATTCACAACTTATTGATAAAATTTGTTCTTCGAAAACTAAAATTTAAAAGATTTACATTATTGAATTGAAAAACTAGATATTAATTGACATTTTTAATTATGTACAATTCGTAGCTCAAAAAAGTGAAACTTTGTTAAAGTAACAAGTTAACAAAAATTGCAATTAAACATCAGGGACATTGCAATTAAAAAATCACTATCCATGTTACTTAAACATAAATTTGTGAAATTACTCAATAGCCAATTAATTAGCGCCGTTATTTCTTCCATGAAATATGTAAAGGCAATCTGCACTAAGCTAAAATATGCAGTTTTTTGCAATGTTTTTTTTTTATTTAATATATTGCGCCGACCAAGACAGCGGTATTATTGATAATTGATTAATAGACCTGGAATGTTTAGGAAAAACTTGTTGAAAAGCGACTCCGGCTGCCCATTGTTATAATAATTGGTTCAGCAATGCAAACAATGCAGAGAAACACGTTTTACTATCAATTTACTCGTTTTTTCATTGGTTTCATGTACTTTGAACCGTATCCCTAACTAGCAAGAGCTACTATAATTAATTTATCATATCTTGACACTTGTTGATGAAAATATCAGTTTTTTCATCAGGCGATTTGCGCCATTAATTTATACCTGGATTAGACAAGTGTTATTCCATAATACAATACGAGAGTTTCACATGATAAGCCACTAACGCAATCCTGCTAATAAAACGGTAATAAATCACACAAATTGGGCAAGAAAAGTGTCTTATTATTTACCAGTTATAAAATAAAGCGTTAACATCATTAACACGTTAATAGATGTGATAGATTCGTTTAGTTTTCAGATAGTTTAGTTATCTGTATGTGTGTACGCAATTAAGATAGCAGCTGGATAACATTTGAAACTACGCAAGTTTTTGTGAGTAATTTTTTTAAGAGCACAAATTTTGTTTGTAATCTGGTGTAAAGTGTGTTTGATTTAATGTTCGCGACATTTAAAGACGCTTATCAGAGACCCAAATTGCAATATTCCGAAGTAATTTATTAAAATTTAAATTTATGCGGAAAGCTTTTCTTGCGAAATCATCCAACACCTAGAAGTCTTATAAATGTTCTTCAACGAGCCGGAAATGATCGTGATTTGCGGAGACATCGTGAAGGGCGAGTAAGAAGACCGAGAAGACCTGAAAATGTGCAAAGGAACGAACGAATTTTAAACGTTATTGAGAAAAATCCAACTATTACTCGAAAGTTTGAAAATGAGCTCGGAACAGAAGAGTGTTAGACTTTGGGGCATTTACTTATTTTAAATTGATTTTTCAGACAATTTGTTAAAAACATTATTTTAATTAATTAAAGCCATTACACGTTATTTTCTCTATTCAAAACGACATTCTCAACATAAAACAATTTTATTTTCACCTTGATTAAGCGACGAGTATTTTTAGTTGCAACTTGTCCCAGAGGACACTCATTGCAATTTGGGATAATAAATAAATTTATAACATAAAGGAACTTTGTTTAACGACATCTTTGGAAAATGTAAATTATTCCATTCGTTTTTCCCAACCCCCAATCACTGTTGGTTTTGATACTTTTCTCAAGATATTCGCTTCGCCTATTTCATATAAGTAATTCTTAATTTTTTGCAAACTGCTTTTTTTCTAAAATAAACACCTGAAAATATCTGCTTTGCAAAAAAAATAACTTGTATAAACACAAAACATGCCTTATCTTGAAAATGTGCGTCGCTAATTTTGCTATTTAAACCTGTTGGAAACAATCTACTTTCGTAGAGAAAAACATATAGAAAGTTGTGAAATACTTTCGCCCAATAATAACTGCTCGATATTGATAAAATATGGCTCCATGACACGAGGAAAGCAAAAATAACAATGAATAATTGTAACCACCCACTTGAACCACACAATTGTAATTGTTATTACTGCTATTACACACTTCATTAGTTGCGATGATCGGACAAAGCTTATTAAACGGCAAATTAAACCTATGAAAACAAACGCTGGATAATTGGGCTTTTATAAAATTTGTATAATCCGAATGAGACTGGGCTGGGTCGGAACCAACAGGAATCAATCAGGAAAAACGAGAAATTATCTAATCAAAATCGGGTGTATTGAGTGTGTGCGACGTTCCAGATTTGGAACAGAAATGTATGTATATAAACTGCTATGCTTTGATATAATTTCCTATGCTTGAAGCTTTCAGCAAACCCCTTTATAAGACCCAATATGTTTCCTAATAAACCATCATAAATAAAAAACTGCGATGCGGTTTTCCTTCGAGCAACTTTCCGTGTTAATCGACTTATTAATATTTCAAGAATCCGCTTAAAACGTCCGTCAAGTAAGCCGATTCGCTTATTTTCGCCAAAGCATTTCTAGGGCACATCAGCCTGGCTTGGCAAACAATTTTCCTTGCACAAACGCTTTGATTGATGAAAACGAAAAATGTGTAGGGTTTCAGCTTATTTGAATCCCGGCTGATGGTCGTTCCACTTTTCAAACTAAAAACAACCTCCTATTGATTGGACTGAAATATGGGGCAACACAATAAAACGAGTAGATGATGATGATGATGCTCTTTCAAACGTTTTGGCAGGTAGGGAGATAATTAGGACCCAACTGGCGTGATTCGGGGCGCTTTTCATACGGCCATCGGCGAAATATCTTTGTTTTATTAGTCAATTTCGATACAAAGTGGTTTCTATATATACACACCTTTCACCTGCGCCTGATACTAGAAGATAATGGAAAATCGGAATTCGATTAAAACCCCTTTCAGAGAGGCTTGAATAGTAATCAACCACGCAAAACTTTTTAAAATGCCAATCAATCAATAGATAAAAACTAGATTCAATGTGCTGATTGCGAGGCTGATACCTATAGTTTTTTTTGTTAAATTAAAAATTAAAAAAACAAATATCATGCAACTAACTATAAAGTAGGAAAAGCACTCTGTGTTTAGAAATATAGATATTGATTGGGTATTGCAGCTTTGCTACCGGAACTGATTAGTTGGTTTGGCTGAAAGTTTCGGACTTAACTTGAGTGGCCACTAGATTGACCAGTCCGATCTCCAGATATGACTCGTGTTGATTGTTTTAAGAGGATATTTTAAGTGCACATGCGAGCATGCTTAAAGATAGAATAAGTTGGGAATTTTTGATAAGGCTAAGTCGACAAGTTAATAAACCGCACTCAAAATTAAATTTTAAACGCAACTTTGTAATCTGGGAAGTTTACCGAAAACAACAGAATAAAGTTGCATTTTCATGAAATGTTCCGACATTTCAGGTTTGGAATCCCCATATTGACCAACTCGTAAATAGCAGCTCGGTTTAGCTTAGAAGTTCTTAGGTTTTGAAGTTCAAATTTAAACTTGAAATTTTTTTGTTTGAAAAATTCAGAATTTGGATTTGGGATTGTATGCTTTCCAGGTCATATGAATCATAAAAAAAATTAGGAATTAAAGAAATTAGGCATTACAGCGTCTGCTTATAGATAAAAAAAAATAAAAGCATAACCAGATGAATTCGGTGCTCATTTGCTAATTTACTCTTTGAATAATTTCGTCTCATTACCGAAGGTTTACTGATTCCAAAACCTTTCAAAAAATAAAAAAACGTGTGGAGAAAGAGAAAATATAATTTATTATGGGCTTGGATATACGCGATTTATTACCTTTGAGGTAAAGTTTTAAATATAGAAACTCTCAAGATGAAAAGATGGACAGAAGTTTTTTCGATAACCGAAAATTCTATTATCAACCAATTTTAAATATCCATTTTTACAAAAATCGCTTCAACCCAAGAAAACTAACAAATTCAATTATCTGTAGGTGTTCTAATTTTTTAAGAAAAAAACCCCGCGTTTAGGTGAATTTCGGTAAGCAAATCCATCAACCAGCCAAATTAATTATTTACTGACATTATTTGCTTTATTTATTGTTTTTATAATAAATAAAGGTTTTTACAATAAATAATTTCTTTTGCCAGTTACTATATAGTTTAGAGGACACACTGCACAAGTATTCCGGTGCAATACGTTTACTAAAGTTTTACTTTTTAATTACAGAAAAAACTGCTTATATTAACTTCATTTTTTCGGAACAAATTCTTTAAAGAAAATCTTAAATTCTCTTAAAACACGTTTAAATAACCCTGACTTTACTCTTCTGCGGATATTCAAACTAGGGATTTTAAATGAAAAACTCTGAAAATTAAAAACCGTGCATACTGAAATTTCCTTTACAAACTGAAAATTCAATTAGTTTTAACATTCATTTGAACTACCAGTTTAACCATTCATTCGGTCTAGACAGACCATAAATTAAAAAAATGTCGCATAGACCGCATTGCAAATATCTGCAGTTTTTCCGATTATATAGTGAGAAAAGCGCCTTTTGGGTGAAATTCAATATACAAACAATCCATCATTCAATACTTTTTATTCAATATAATTTATATTTTAACAACTGCAGCATTTTAAAGCTTTTCTCACTAAAAAACGTCAAAATGTTTCTAGTGTTTTTATTTTTGTCAATTAATGCATAATTCAGTCTACACATTACGGTTCAAATAAACAAAGAAACAACACATTGCCTTTTTTAAGCCTCTGTAATCTAAGAACAAAAAATTGATTTCTCAATTCATCTTTATCAGTTTTTCAAACACTACCGTCTATATGACATAGATTGATGGATAACTTGTTAAAAGCATCGCTTACTCAATTGCAAACTGAATTTAAAACATAATAATAACATGAAAGTATCCGCAGTATTGTTCAACTTTTTAGGCAGAAAAGCTGCTTTTGAGTGAAATAAAGGAAGAAATTCCATCCATCATAGCACATGTTGTGTTTTTAACAACAAAAATTGATTATGGTTAGAAAAATCAGTATACATTGCACGTAAAAAATGTGCAAAGGCAAATGTTCACGTGTCTATCAAGCTTTAAAGTTGTTTGAACAAATAATAAATCACCCTGTATAATGTCAGCGTAATAATCAAAATTAGTGAATAACAGTTTCATTAAAAAAATGAAAATTGTAATAAATTAAATTGGGTTTTTGAAAACACATTTCCTTCAATATAATAGTATTTTAAACATGTTTTCCATCAATTGTAATTATGTAATAAATAAAACATAAACACGCTGGAGATTTTGCTACTCAGAACACTGGGGCATCTTCAGTAGGTTCTAAGTAGTTGAAAAAGTTTAAAAAATCGATATTAACCGAATTTTTCCTTGAAAACTAAAAAAATTCCCAAACGTTTTAACCACATCTTTAGGATCTTAGCAGGTTCTCTTTTAATCGTAAACTTTTGGATTCTCTTAGAGTTTTAAACACTTTTGCGTGTGCAAAATTCACAAATATGGCACACTATTTCCGCAAAAAACTGTTATTTTTCAGCAATCAAAAAAACTTACAGAAGCAAATCCTCGTCCAACGCCTCCATTCACTGGCGGCGTATGTCCATTCCTTTCAGGAGGAAAAATATTAACATTGACTGGAGCGGCCCAAGATGCAGGCCGAGTATTCCACTTTTTGTTGCCCCCCAAGAAACCCCCGCCTCGATTAAGGGGCTCCAATGTTGAAGGGTGGCGTGTGATAGCGCCACCCTTTTGCTGATGATTCGAACCCCACATGAATCCGATTGCTATTACGAATAATTTATCCAAAACGGACACACCACTGATCCACGTTCTTCATGACACCACTTTCACTTGTGATGCAACAATTATTACCTGGAGGAGCACAAATCTCTTCTAGTACTAGTTATAGTTCACGATTTTCCGCACTGTAAATGTAACAATACAGCATTAGGTAACTTATCTGAAATAGACGGTCGTTCGAAAACTAAGAACCACTCGTAACAGGTTCCAATCAGGACTTTCCAGTGTTATCAAGAACAATAAGCGAGCTCTGCTATGTCTGTTTACTTGTCCCCTACTTTGATAAGGTTTTATTGCGTTGTGCCCCTACCTGTATGTACGCAAGCTATATTAAGTATGATTTATTGTCGGTACTCTACACATGTTATTGCCATTATTATAGGACTGAGCAATTTGTCTATGAATCATGTGATTTACTTAATCACACTAGCGATTCTCAGAAGAACATCAGATGAACCAAGAATAGTAAACGTAAACGCGCGCATTCGTTCGCACCAGGCAAACACAACGAAGGCAAATATTCTTTCGAATTGAATCAACCGTTTGCATCCCTTAAGATGTTTAGAAGTTTGCATCGAACGAACAGAACGACCAAAAAATAATATTTGCATCTCTTCGCATCTTAAATGATGTAAACCTTCAATACGTATGTGCATTATTTCACCTAAAATAAGGCAAATATTTATTTTCATTCGTTCCGTTCGTTCGATGAGAACAAATGCACGCCTACCTAAACATGGCATAGTTCAAAGATACTGAAACGACACAAAAAGTAATGCATTTGTTCGCTTCAAACAAACAGAACGAAATAATATCCGCATGCACGCAAAATCCAATATTTCCATTCGCTTCGTTCGTTCGATGCTGACTGAATGCATCTCTTCCTTCTGAGAAGAACATCAGATGAACCAAAGGCACTAAAGGTAAGAACACATTTGTTGGCATAATGAATTGAATAAATATTCAATTTCATTTGTTCCGTTCGTCCGATGCGAAAAGCTGAGCGCTTACCTTTCGATATTTGTATTCAGACACAATGAAGCGGCAAAGGTTTCAATGATCAAAACTTAAAACATTCCAAACTTCCAACTCATCACTCAGAACTCGACTCCAGGTTATTACCTGATAGCCATGAAACAAAAACCTTCTCAATGAGTCAAACTGCAGATTACACACAATATTGAGTGTTTCCTCGAAAATTTCCAATTTCGATCGCAATATTACTAGAAAAACCTTTTTTCTCGACTCGACCTCGACTAAAATATTTTGGCATTTTGCACAGACCGATACAGATCACAGCTAAATTTAGTACCTAATTAATTTAATCTTCAATATATATAAGATAATGAGATTAACATGCGATAATTAAAAACATTGTCGACTCATAACCGATCTGAATGCTTGAATTTATGGCCTGTAAATTCAGGCCGCCAGGTATTTTTCAGTATTTTATTTTATCGACAATTTTGTATGATCCGCATTTCTAATATGCAATTATTACAGTCTGCAAATTTTACTTTCATTTAGTCAATGGATGAATGATCCTAATTGAATAGTAAATCTAATATCGACTTCACATCAATAAAATGTGATTTATTGACCCATAAAGTGGCCTCCACGGGCCCCAGACAATACTCCAATAGACTTTTTTGGGGGATTTATTATGAATGAAATTTGCGGAAATATTTCCAAACAACGTTCAGTTGCTCAAGGCTAAGCTTTACCAGTTATTAACAGAACATTTTAGCTACACTGGATCTAAAATTGCTTTTAAAAATTTGGTGATTAAGTATGTCTTAGTCAAGGAAAAACTGAAATTTTAATCGATTATTGTCCAAAACAACGAAAATTCAAGAATCGATTCACGATATCTCAAGTTGATTGTTCTAGCTAATTAAACATTATTAAATTTTAAATGTGTTTTTGGCAAATTCCTCTCCATTACTTTTTTTACGTTCAACAAATTCACAAAGTTTCATTCGATTTCAGTAAATGCATTTAATGATCTACTATAATGTAATTTATTTTTTAAAGCCTGTTGCAGAAAAGTAAATATTAATTGAAAACAAATCCAGTTTTATATATTTTCTTAAACATGTTTTAATGAATTAAAGTTTAAGGAGCTTAGTTAGAAGTTAAAAGAGACAAAAGTTAAAATCAACAATTCTAACTAGGAAGAAAAGGCTAGACAAGTCATTTAAGCATTTAAGCCGTGTTTCCTGAACTGAACAGAAAAAATATAACTGTGTATGATAAAGAAAAATAAATCACTCAAAAATGAGTGCTCATGTAGAAGGTTGATGATGAGCCTTGAAAGCTGCGATCGATATTGGCGAAATCAGAAGATCAATCATTCAAAAAGAATAATCAATAAAACTTTGTAATAAAGCGTTAGTTTAGCGGGGCTTATGAATCATCCAGAGCCTCCTCCTTTGGAGGCATCAATAGGAAAAATCGATTTTTGAGTTGAACACCTCTAGGGTCTTGAGCAGGAAAAACTACCACACTTTTTACAACATTAAACATGATTTATTAACTTAAACAGTACCATGTTCCATTTGACACATTTTTGTAAATTGCTTGCAACCACATGTTTTACGGTTCATTGATTGCTTTCATCAATCTTCATTTTTACCATAACAATATCTAAAAACCGGCAAAGAACTTCTATTAATGTTTTCAAGTTGCCGAACATGGTTGTTTCAAAGAAGGCTTTCGTTAGTGGCGTTCTAGAAAATCAACGATCAAGTTAACGACTACAGTTTACATCCAAAAGGAAAACGTAAAGTCATCAGATCAAACGGTACAACCTTTATCGACCTGTAACTTTCAGCGTGAAGATCTAGTTGTTACTTTTTCCACGTTCACCTGGCTGTTAACTGTGCCGTTGACGGAATAAAATGACTAATTAATCACGTTATCGTCCGTTATCTTTACATTCCATTAGTTAATTGTTATTGATAAAAACCAGCGACTGTTTTCTGAGATATTCTAAGGTAACTAATCAGCGCAGAAAAAAACTGGCGGAAGATGAAGGAAGTTTGCTATTTGACTTCTTCGCGCACGTTCCACTTGTGCATAATTTGCCCGATTATGGCGACAAACAGACTGAAAATGTAGACATGATATATTTGACCTGAAAATGCCGGTGAAATCAACATTTTTAAAATCGTTGAAAGCAAGTCATCGAAAGGTGAAAAATTAACATTCAATAACATCGCAACAAAGTGCTATTTGTCTTATGCAGCATTCTTGCTGTTACCTCTACCATCTGTTCATGGTACCGCGTCTGAAGACAAGAAAGTATCTAACACATTATGACCTATACAAGGCTGATGTTGTATAACGTAATTATGTGTCAAACTATCGCATAGGATATTAGATAACTGGAAACTAAAATGATTTAAATTACATTTTATTATTTATGTATTTATTTATTTATTTATTCAGTGCGTTCTCTGTGGGCTGAGAGAAATTAAATTTGAATTATGCAACTGTGCTTCCAGCAACCAACTACATAAATTGTCACATTGAATTGCATTTATACTTTCTAATTAAATGCCATTTGGGCTTTATTATCAGCGAGTTTTCATTTATTTTCCTCATTGGCGTCGGGCAAAAAATCGACATGTAAACCACATCGGCATAGCAAGTCATCGACTCGATTTATTGTCTAGTAGATTCAATAACTAATAAATTAATTATGGTTAATAGCTCTTGCGATAAGTAAATAAGGTCGTTCAAGAGATAGTAGCAAAGTAAACAATCAACAAGAATTGCATACAGTAAATTACCTGGAATTAAACCAGATTTCCTGCTAAACTCATTTAAATGCGAAAGCGACAGGTGTAACAATCATGAAATAAACGTTGATTATCATGCAAAAAGTGACTATTCTATAATAAATCCTTAATTATTCAACGTATTTTTTCTTCGGGGCTTTGTAATCAAGTGCAAACAGTAGCTGTTTAAAAATGCATAAATAAGTGAGTTGATTATCAGTTTAACAGTTTAAAAGATCCTTTCCAAGTTCTTCAAGATGTTGGCAAAGCTTCATATAAAACCTATTCATTACAAACTAGGTGTAACACAAAAAATCAATGAAACCCGAAAGGACACTTTCAAACTGATAATGTCAAACGAGGGATTGTCCTGTAATCCACAATATTTATTGGCATTATTATTATTATTAATATGAACAAACCGTTTCAACAAAGATCAAAGCGACTGCAAGAGGTGATCGTACAACCTTATGAAGTACGCCTATGCATAATGTCATGGTTCCGTTGCAAAATAATTCTTTGTTTAATAAAGTAGTACGATCGAGGATTCATGAAATTGTGCTGCAACACTCCTCCGAACTGTTGACTGAGGCATTGTTCGGAATTAGCCATATGTAAATAAATCTTTTTCCTCGGAAATGGGAGAGTATTCAACTGCAGTGCTGTCGAAAGTGTTGTTTCAATTAGGAATGTATTAATTGTGGAAAAAAATTGTGAAAACTCCCCACCTGAAGCCACTTTATTGACTTTTTCGTCGTCCTTGATAATTATCGCATAGGTAATTATTTACCAATTTGAGGAAGCTTGTTTGCCATGACGATAACGTTCAGATTAATGCGTCGCTTTTATTACACGGAAAACTTAATTGCTAGAGCCGTTTCGCTAATGGATTGTTAATTAGATCAATTTTTGAAAGCTTAATTGCCGTTAGAGGTGTTGGCTGGAACAGAATCAAATTAGAGCGCTCGGCCTGGATTAGACCTGCCAAAACGCAATCATTTCAAAATGCTACACGTTTTTTCGTGGTTCAAATGGTTGAATAATTCCAACAAATAATTAAATCTACAAAACATCCGTTGTTTTGTTTGCCACAATCACCAAAAAAGAAACTGTAAACTTTCCCGATTATTTGGTAGTTGGGGTATGTTGAACTCGTGGTGGTAAAAATATCGATACGGACAAACAACCGATACTAATCTAGTACTCAATAACGCGAATGGTGCTGGACCAAATGCAGCAAAATCTGCTCTTAAATCCCGATTTGGTTTTACCACGATCTGGGAGTTACTTTGCTTAGGCGTCTCGCAAATCTTCAAATCTTGAATTCAGTTGTGGCTCCTGGTAAAAATGTTTCGCGGTTCTACAAATTTTGGAAATCAAACTTTTCTGCTTTTTATCACTTATGTCTCTCCTTCGTTCTTTTATGATTGCAAACTTTGAAATCAGATAGGAATATTATAACAAATTCGAAATCAGTTTAATTTGATTAAAAATGAAATACTTATAAAAAATTAAAAATTTCTCATTCAAATTTTCTCTTTCAGGCAGAAACATGTTTTCAATAGATGGCATAGAAAAAACGATCATCGGAGGATTTCTGAAAAACCCTGGTGATTCGTCTCAGAGTAGAGAAATTACAACTAGATTATTACTGTTTTTAAGTTGAACTCGCGCGCGTTGAACAAATTCGATACCGACAAACAACCAATAATACTCAATCACTCAATAACGCCGATGGCGCTGGACTAAATGCAGCGAAACCTCCACTTAAATCACGGCTCTATTTTAGCCGGATAAGGGAGGAGAGGAGTGTTGCGCGGGTGTTTGAAAGAGCGCATAGAGCACAATCGTGTGGGGCAGATTAAATAAAAATTTAATGGGAGCGTGCGTTAATAAATGATTCTACTGGTCGACTTTACTTGCGTGCTCCGCAACTGCCAAGTTTTTAGTATAATATTGATTTTTTGATAATAAAAATACTTTAACTAAATTGCGTTGTTTTTTGCGGCAGCGCTATAAAACAGAAAATACCAATTAAAGTTTTGGGCAAAAAAACTGCGAAAAAATCTCCAGAAAAAAATTGTTAAGTGCCTTACTTGCTTTATATTAAATCGATTACAACAACTTATTGAAAAAGTTGGAAAATAATTTCAGTAACATTATAAAATGTTTATCATTTTTCAAAAACCGATCTAACATATTTTTAAGGACGAAGAAAAGCACGGTACATTGTCTTTAAAAGCCCTTAACGACAAGTGTAAAAAAACTCAATGGAAATTTTGTCGATTCACTATCTCACAATAGAAAAGATTTTGACAAACCAAAATTTAACGAATTTTAAAGTTTACATAAGACAAAACACATCTATGCATTCAAATAACCTAAATCTGCAGGTTTGTTTGGATTTAATATTAATTTACATTAAACAGAGTAGATGAATTTAACCAGTTAAAAACAATATGAATTAAAAACCACATCATCAGGATGACTTTTAAATGTTAGGCTGTCGCTGCTATAAAACTGAGGCGTAGTTCCCAATTTATTGACGGTCGAAAAAAAGTTAATTTATCCGGAGATGAGCATAATCCCATTTGAAAACGCAATAAATTGTGTTTGTTCTGGATTATCCCTAGATATTTCTAGCAAAAAAACACGTATTTTGAACACGGGCACATTCTTCAAAGGCGTAAAGGTTATAATTAAAATACCAATATCAAAAACAGGTTGTTCGACTAGTCATAGAAATGTCGCAGATGGTAATAATATGGTGTTGGACACAATTAACAAGACCCATTAACTAATATTCGTTTAACCTTGTCCGGCTGTTTACGGCCACAAATTACATTCCCTGATACTTTATAGGTAAGATTTTGTGGAAATTTCACATACAATTTGCTATTGGCTTTGGCATAAATACTATTAATATTAATTAATAACAATAACCTGGAGCAGAATAAAATGACAAGAGTAAGGAGCATTTTGCAAAATTTGACAGAAAATGTCGATGGAATTGTAACTTTTTTAACTTTTAGATTTAGAGTCAAAGAAATAGTATTTACCGATTAAACAAAAATTTCCGAATGTTATTGCATCCTAATTTTTCCTAAAATGTTGTTACTAAAATTGAACTAAAAAAGTTAAATTTTACTCTTCTTTTATTTTAAGTATATTTTTATTATTAAGGTTTTCATTTCCCAATAAAAAATTTCAAAAACAAAATATTTAGAGTGAATACATTTTGAAACTTTTATTTTTTCAAAATTTACTAACACGCTTTCTTATGAGATGCGTTCTGAAGACGATAGAAGATTCGCTATAGAAACCTATTTTTTGAAATTAATTTTATTAACTAATTGCGAAGTTAAAGTTATCAAATTTAAAATAAATGGACAAAGAAAACTCAAATTTCTCTGAAATCACAAGAAAAGGCTTCCAATGTTCTTCTTAAGAACGCAGCGTATTTTGCAGTATTACAACTTTCAACGAAAAAACTTCTCTAAATCACGTAAAGCACATAATTGCTACAGTTAGATCGTTCCTGCTAGTGCAAGTGATCTATATTCTAAACGCAATCTAAACATTTGTTGCTACGACATTTTTGCATCTTTAGAAAGGAGCATGATAAATAAAACCTAAATTCACTACATTTTAAGATATTGCCTTTTTACGACAAAACCACAAGTGGAGATTGCCGTGATTAGAACGAAATTTTAGCTTTCAATTGAAACCATATTGACTTTTGGCTGATAGGCAAACTATTTAGCAATTGATAAATGCAATTTACTTTTAAACGAGCCATTAGAGCCAATTTCAGGCCAAACTATTGATAAAGTTGACGCAACACAACCTGAATTTGGTAACCTACAGCTCATCGTTTATTAAAAGAAAGTGATTGGAAAATTGTTGCACACTTAAAGCGAACAATTGCTTGCACCCACAATGAAAACTCTTATATCCTCTTGTCCAGTTATTTCTATATATTTCTATTTCTATAACTATAAAATTTCATTATGAAACCCAATTTTAATATCTACGCTGTAAACGATCATTACGAAACCGAATTCCAACAAATTTGAAATCAATGAAAGCTTATGCGATTAAATGGTAATTTGCAATGGTTTTTATCGAATATTTTCGGTTTTCAACAGTTTGGGATAGTTGAAGGTGACAAACCCACATATTTGGTCTGCTTAATAGGAACCCAGTTCCTTTATCCCTGGGCAATAAAATGCACAAATTTTAGCGCTGTTAACAGGCCTTTGAGCAAGCAATTAAACAATGTTTTTGTCGAAGTTGAATCATTTCAAAGTTTAAAGCGATTAAACAATTTCTAAAGTTAGTCACTCCAGTCCTTATTCGGCTAAGTGAACCACCTTTGATTTATGGGAAGATTGGGAATGTCCGTATTGACAACAGTCTATATTTGGCGAAATTAGTCATCAGCAAGAAAAACGAATTGGGAAGCCTCTAACAATAGTTCTGTCTAGATATTCAGAAGGAATATAATCGAAACAGTGGCGTGCTACAAAAACGAATAAATCAACCAATAGAATTTAAAAAAAATAAAATCACTTCGACATAACACCGTAAAATAATCAACCGAATAACTAAATAATTGACCTACAAAACAACTTAATTATTTTGTGGACATTGCTAATTATTCAGATCGAAGTTATTGCGTTATACCTTGGAAACAAGCAACCATGTAGTACCTAAATTGCCATTTTTATGGGGAACAGTTTGCAGCAGATCATGAGAAGAAACTTTTTAATATTGGGTAAAGGCAGGTTAATAAAAACGATATTGATCATAAAATCCTGTTTGGCGGCAACATTTGCCTAGAAAGCGGCCGTTAAAATGGTGAGAAAACGCGATTTACGAAATACTCCAAAACCAGCTTTGTCAATCACATTCGCATAAGAAAGAACAAGAGCCAAATTTCCTCAACAGTAACCAGACATAGCTTTTACCTTTCTGCCATGGAAATGACTAAATTGCCTTGAAGTTACGGTTAACATGCATTTAAATAATATTACTCTTTATATGAACACTCCTACAGAACCGAATTCCTTTCTACTTCAGTAAGACATTCAACAAATGGCACTGATTTGATCCAACACAAACTTATCAGGTAAGTTAACCGATGCGCAACCGGGTACTGATACCTTTAGGTAAGTCACCCTGGTGGTACCGGAAACCGAAATCTATCCGGAAACGAACCGCGTTACCGGAAACGAAGGAAATACAGCGGCTACTCGACGCAAAAACAAAACAACTACCACACGGAACCCACGGTTAACTAACTACCATTGGAGACTTTCGAGTAAAAGCATTATGTGTTGCGCGAACATGCCACGGTGGTACCCGTTCAGAGGTGTGTACTTGCGTCCGCGTACCGAAGCGGTACCACATGAGATTTGAATAGTAATTTTTCGACAACATATTTCCATTGTCTCAATTTATATGTATTTAAAACGGTACTATCGGGCCACACTGTTAAGATTCCCTAAACGTTCACAGGTACTGCTTGGTTTACATACAAACACTGAACCTGAAGAAATTTTTCATAATTTTTTATACCTACTACAAATGTTTCCATCTTCTATAGTACCCAAAGCGATATCTATTAGTAAATTATTTTTTTACTGCTGCTCTAAAGAAATATAAATGTCTTTTACTAGTTGCAACAATCCAAAAATCAATAAAATATCCCCAAAATCAGCCAATGCATCCCCCATATCGACAACTCTCTGCTTCAATTCTAACCATTGAGCTAGTGAAACTGCCATTGCAAAAATCCACTCTTTGAAATAACAACTTTCCACTGGAGCGCGCGGTTACTGAGGGAGAAGTGAATAGAGAAGAGTGTGTGAGGAAAAAAGATGAGGCCAATGTGGGGTAAACAGTACCAAAAACTGCTGGATATTCATTTAGCTAAAAACCTTGTAAAACTGTGAGTGGTTGTTAAGGTGGGTTTCTCTGTCTTCTGTGTATTCAAAATATTCAACATTTTGAGAATAAAGCATACATTATGCATTCATTTGGGAGCAATTTATAATTTGAAAAAACGCTTAACGAGATATTTTTTTTCAAATAGTTGACAAAAAATGTTTTCATTTCAAAAATTTTCAAAAATGAATTTCAAAGTGAAGATTATAAAAACGCGGCTTATTATTATAAAAAATAATATGGCGAACTAAAAAATATAAAGAAAAATAATAAAAAAACCGATAAAACATCAATTAAGTGACATAGACGATACTGATCAAACAAGATAGTGAATTTCCCCATGAATTATTAAATCAAACAGATTTGGGAATAAAAAGACAATCGACCAAATAAAACCCGTTTTTTTTGTAAAATCCCTGGAATAAAGTATTTTAGGTTGTTGATAAACCTTAGGATGTTTTGAATTCAGTATCTGTATGACAAAATCCAGAGGGGCGGTTTTCGTGCTAGTTTCAAATCAAACCGAGCAATAAAAAAACTAAAAAAAAAAAAAAAAAATGAGGATCAAAATGAAGCAATCACAATTCAGCCAAACGAACAAAAAACATGCCAGTTGCCCATTATCATTATTCCTCATTTATTTAAATTTGGTTAAATGGATTCAGACGTCCATTTTATGCACTTAATTTACAATTAACTCTATTTCAGTTAACCATTCCAGTGAACGACAAAAATATCGATTTTCACACCTAAACTCGAATTTATTTTCTCCCATATTAATATTAGGTGTGGTCAGTTATGAACACATGCAGTAAAAATGCCAAGCTTCCTGCTCATTAGCGGCCCTGTAAACGATACTCTGCTCTATAAATAATTTTCAATCAATCCAGTTTCAGTTTTCAATTAATACGAAATTTCCTGCACATGCTCGTCCAAGATTAACTGGTTAACAATTCAATGATATGAAAACGATTCAAGTACAAATATAGAAATATATCCTCTTTATTGATGCCCCAATTTTTCGAAATGTTCGTCAACAGATGGCAATTCGTTGGTGTTTATGTTCCAGTACCCCATCTGTTTCTCGCACACGAGGATTCGTTTAAAAATACATTTGTTTGCTTTGATTTTATTGACAAATCTGCGTGAGTGATTTGTTTAAAATTTCTCCTCAAAATGAGAGAAGTGCGCCCTAATATGACCTACTAAAAAGCGATTTTACTGTTTGAAACTAATGGGTTTGATATGGCGCAATTCATTAAACAATGCATGTGTTTTCATTGTTGCTAATTATTTGTTTTCCAATATATGCACGTACCATGAAATTTTTTATTGCCAATGATTCATCACAAATCAGCTAGTTAAGGCTTCCAGCTCAAAGCTCGATTCCACATTGTTTCGTCTAGCAAGATTGCGCAATTGGCTTTAATTGAATGAAATCAAATTACGCTTTGGCGTAATTAGCGCCGATGGAACAGAAAAATTGAAATGGCGTCGCGGAAACGGAAGACGCTCATTTGAACCAGTTAAAAAAAATCATTACGGACCTGGCCCAGTACCAAACACCGCCTTATGCAAATGCAAACGCATAAAATTCGAGATTGATGTGAAAAAAAACCTGCTGGAATTCTATGACGATAAACATGTTTTAATCCTCGTTTGTGGGCTAATTGAGTTGTTTTCCGGTAAACGAAATTTATCTTGTAAATTATGGATTAATTCGCCGCATTTTGGACTTTACTGCTTTGTGAAATTCAAATGCAACATTTTCGTTGGCTTTATCAGTAAACTATTTAGAATTAAAGGATTGTATGAAAAAAAAGAAGTTTTTAAAGTGCGCATTATGCGACTGGGGATATAAATCGTCACTGGAAAATTAATAATTAACAAATAAAAAATAATTTATATACCTAAGTACAGTATAATAAACAATATTTACCGCCTCGTTTCTTATGTATGTTCATTTTTACCCAGCTTTCTGGGCATTACTTGAATGAAAGAAGATTAAATTTACTTGAAAAACATCTGGTTGCATGTAGGTGGCCTATTATTTATCAATCAGTTAGATCTATATTTAAAATGATTCATCAAGTTGATTATCCCACTGTGGATTTGACCTTATATTTAGAGTTTTCTATTAATCATTCACTTTTACAGTTTTTTTCTTGCGTTGTCTGTATCGGAATTTTTCGTTTTTCCAATTAAACCAACAGAGCAGAAGTTTGAATTGTTTAGTTAGTTATATAATTTTCTAGGTCTTAATTCTTGACAAAAATGTGAACCTTTCAGGTACTAAATTAGTCATGAATTTTTTAATTTTTTGGCTCTAAATGACCAAAGTTCTGCGAATCATCAGGAAAATCACAAGAAATTGAAGAATGCAACAAAGTAAATTAAAAATATGCTAGAATCTTCAGATCCGAAGTAATCGACATATTTGGTATATTTTAAGCTGTTTTCATCTTTAACCGACTAGTTTCCTTATTATAGACTCAAACACTTTACATATGCATATCAGAAACCTTCTTAGGTCGAAAATAATCCATTCAGCTCAAAAATCAGGCATGTGAAATTTTTGTTTTTTACCAAAAATTTCATAAGGGTCGATTTTTTCACAAAATATCAAATGTCTCAAAATGCCTCGAATTCGACACCATTTTCCTCACAATTAATCGAGGTCTGGAAAGAAGTAATTTAAAAATACGCGAGAATCATCAGATTCGAAATAATCGAGATTTTTGTCCTATTTTAAGCTGTTTTTGAGCAGCTTCGATCTTTGACCGGCGATATCGTCCTTTTATAGACTCTAACACTTAATATATGCATATTGAGGAGCTTCTTAGGACAAAAACAATCTATTGAGCTCAAAAAACACGCATGTGAAATTTTGATTTTTTTTACCCATAAGGGGTAAATTTTATAAAAGGTCGATTATTAAATGTCTCAAAATGCCTCGAATTCAACACCATTTTCTTCACAATAAATCGAGGAATGCAACGAAATAATTTAGAAATTTGCCAGAAGCCTCAGATTCGAAATAATCGACATTTTTGTCGTATTTTAAGCTGTTTTTGTGCAGCTTCGATCTTTGACCGGCGATATCTTCCTTATTATAGACTCGCACACTTAATATATGCATATTGAGGAGCTTCTTAGGCCAAAACAATCTATTGAGCTCAAAAAACACGCAGGTGAAATTTTGATTTTTGACCAAAAATTTCATAAGGCCGAAACACAACGAAGTAACTGAAAAATACATTAGAACCTTCAAATATAAAAAACTCGACATATTGCATTGCGACATTTTTGCATATTTTAAGGGTTTTTTGAGCGGTTACAATTTTTAATCGAGGCTATATTCTGTATTATAGACTCAAACCCTAGCATTGGGTCAGAGGCAATCCATTGAACTCAGAAAAAACACTGAACTCTACATTCAATTCAACAAGCAAATAAATTAGAATTTTGGAAAAAATATTCTACAATGAATGAAAGAAAACTCATCATATTCATCAAAATTTCGACGGGTTTTATGTTCAATATGTATAAAAAGACAATGATTCTCATACAGTTACCAACTAATACTTATGTGCGGTTGCATTCGCAAGGCCGTTCCGGTTTTGAATGTTTTCATTAACAATTGCCATTCATGTACGTTAAGGGAGTGGCGTGACATGTAACAATAGGCGACATAAATTAAGTTCTCCCAAATTTCTAATAGCTATCTTTATTGTTACCGTTACCCAACCAAGTAAACAATGTCAAGGAAAGGTTGAACTTTCCGAAAAACAAAAGTGCCGCATCATGTAGGTTCACACCAAAAAAAAAAGTTCAATCAGTCCGTGGCTTATGAGGCCGGTTTGAAAAAGGCAGTTTACGGCAAAAATCCATAAATTCGTCGATATTCAATCAGATTTAATAGAAACAAACTAAACCATCAAAAATCGCGTTACGCCATATTTTCGATTGCTCGGTACTCTCGGTGCCACTGAAAAAGTCACCATGGTTGAATCAGTCACGTATTTCATCGATCTCGCGGTTTGAAAACGAAACAAAAAACAAATTAGCTGGCGAAAGTTGGTTATAAACAAGTAACTAGTCCCTATTATAGAACAATCCATAGAAAATAAAATGTACTCGGGCCGGGGAGTAATGGGTTTGTTTTATTTTTGTTTGGAATGTTGATCAACCAATCCGAAGCCCGACTTGATATCAGTTGTAATCGCTTTTATACTGGTATTCTATGGATACCATCTTATTATGGCCACATAGCGAAAGCTACAACTAAGAACGAAGCAGTTTAGTTAGAATCGTCTCAATTAGAGCTCAACAAAACATTGATTTAGTTAGAAAATTCAACTATTTGGGTTTTATGATTAGGAAATACATATCTAAAAATTAAATAAAAAAAAATTATCCATGTCCTCAAAAATTCGAGTATACAAAGTGGCCGTCTGACAACGGCACAGACCCGATTTTTAACACCTTTAAAAAAGATTATTTATGGAATAACCTTGCGGCCTGTAAACTTTATTTTCAAGAGGTCACACTTAAACAGGGGGGTGCGAACTCTCCTGCTTTGACTATCTTATTAATTTTTAAGTTGAGTATTCCGTCGCTTTTAATGATGCGAGCAGAGGAAAACATTTACAAATCGTGAGCTGGTTTGAATGTGGATCTGCCCTTAATACCGCGTTTGCTCAAAATATCAAACTGCACGAACTTAAAGTTTCATAGAAATTGAGCAAAAGGCCAATCCGAGAGGAAACATTTAATGCAGCATGAAAAAATCCCATGCTCGGAACTGTTTATATTTGGTCGAGAAAGCTGTTTTGAATACGACGATCACCGAAACGAGTTTGAACGCGAAAATTCGGTTTGAAAATATTTCAGTATAAACTAATTTATACAACATAAAAAACAATAAAAAAACACTCAAATCGAACAGCATTCTAAAGCGATGAGACATTCAAGGGCCAACTTGCTCCATGGGCAAGCAAACGATTATATCATACTTTTAGTTCTGTAGCTCGGTGTCTTTGTGATAAACACTTCAATATCGCATTAGTTTTTTTTCGAAAAGTTAAATATTTCGTTCAGTTTATTACGACCAACGGACGAAATAGGTCGTAGGCCCTTTATGTCTTTCTCCTGGTATGGTCCTTATTTGGTGCGACAAAAGCATGTGCGGTAGATCATCCTTCCTGCATAGTTAATTGCAGGATTGAAGTGTTCAATTTGGTGTAGATCTTTATTGTGTGTTCAAGTGTAGTGAGTTTTTCGAATAATTGGCAAAAAATCGAGAATGGGGCGACAGCTTGCAGAAAGCTGGTAAGGAACACCTTGACTTGAACTGAGTTTAGTTTTTCCAGAAGCAACTGAATTTGTATGCTATTCCTTATTTCTCTTTCTTCCTTTTGCTGATTTCACATAATTATACTTTGGACTAAATTTCTGTAAGTATATTAAAGAATATTTTACTTCTTTCCAGGTGGCACGATGCAGTTTCCGGTAAGTCTGTATTATCTTGCATTAGTCTTGGTTAAAGTTGCGCCTGGTTGCCATGTAGCCTTATATATGCTTGTATTTTATGAAATTGTTGCATGTAATATTTATTCAACGAGGAACGACGAGAGAGTTTCTCTGTTGGGTTTTTTTTTTAATTTCTAATTTCTAGTTCTGTAAAATTCATTAAAAAGTCACATACCATACGTTTTTCTACAGTATATTGTATCTTTGATGTAATCTTACAATATAAATGTAAAATTAGTGTCGTTCGGCTGTGAAAGTGTGTAGTGAACTACATTGGTTATTATTGCGTAAGCTAATTTGTGTCATTTATTGGTAATTTCCTTCCGTGAACCGCACCTAAATTAAACTGTTCTTGTATTCACAATCGGGATGATTTGATTTTTCAAATGATAAATTTCATTCACTCAGTTTTCCAACTGAAAAAGTCAGGTTTTCCAGAGTAGGTTTTTCAATAAACTAGTTCAATTTAAATGTAAAATAAGGGTGTTCTGTTGTGAACTCTTCTGGAATTATCTTTGAAGTAAATATATGATTTATAGGCGTTTTTCCGCTGTAAATTAAACTTTTGATTGTTTTCAAACGTAAAATTCGACCAGAATCCAGACCAAAGCGCCTAAAGGTAGGTGAACCTTTATGAACCCCCTCATTGATTGCTTAAATCGGCAACATTTCGAAAACGTGCTGGTTTATCGATAACAAACAATGATACCTTTTTACGTTAAAAACGTCGAAAAAAAAGCAATCAAATCAAATCAGTCTAGCAAATGCGTTCTACTTTAAAATGAAGTTCAAATTCGAATTTCCCACTATTTAAGCGTATATTTTGCGAAATGAAGCAGTGTAAAGTACTTACGTATAGCAAAGTATACTAATCGCGCAATATTTTACTTATTAGACATTTTTGCGTAGGTATTAGGGACCTCGCATATATAACTTTTAAAATAATTCCAGTTATTTCTTTGATTATCAACTACGCGATCACTCGATTAAAAAAGAATTAGATTATTCCCATCTCTAAAGCGCTTTTACACGATGTTTTAAATTGAAATAAACCCATCAAGTGTGTTGTTTAAACACTCTTAGGCGATAAATTGTATTGTAGGTTTCCTATTTCCCAGACGATTTATTTGGGTATTATCAGGCTAGTCTATTAGTTGCTCAAAAGTTACAATAAGAATGTCAGGACCCAATAAGGCCAGATACGCTTTGGACACCCAAAAAAATTATCAACTATTGATTAAAGTCAATAAGATTTTAAACAAATACAGATGTTTGTTGATTGACCTAATGGCGTTTGCATTGTTATAAGTTCTAAGCATTTCGTAGGGTATAAGGCAATGAAACCAATAAGTATTTGCTGATTAAAATCAGATGAGTGGTACTTCAAAATAAAAAAATCTAGCAAACTACTCTGAGGTTTTGGAAATGAATTTCCCAAGTTAAATGATTTCCCAAGCAAATGGTACGTTCAGAGAAAAAAATACGAAAAATTGGTTTTATGGGATAACCCAGAACCAATTCGTCTCTCTGTCCCCCAGGTGGTTACTGATAATCAAAACAGTAAGCATATGTTCGCTGCCTAAATCTGCTTACCTATGGGGGCTAGAGGGGATTGGGTGCAAAAGAGGCAAGTGCAACTTGGATAAACGGTCTTACCTCATTGAAGGCCATATCTGTGAAGGTAGTTCGATGGCCTTTATAGAGTTCACCTGTGTAAGGAGATGACAACAAACCTCTTGCTTGCAGTTTCCAGGAATGTCTGGGTTGAAAAGTTCCGCTATCTCAGCACATTTGGCACCTTATTGATCGTAAACTCGGTTTCGATAACACTACAAGTAGGTTTCAGTGTTCCCTCGACTCAAAACATTGCAATTTCAAAAAAATCAGTTTAAAAAAATTGTTCTTAATCCAGGTGGATGAAGCTGGAAACAAGGTCGTAGAGAGCGCGCCGAGGTTCAGAGGGTGTTTACTTGCAAACGCGGCGGATGTTAAACGAATTCAGTTACTCGTAAACAAATTAGAACGAAAAACCTTTCGAAAAATCACAATATTTTTCTCGACATTAGAAACATCATTCAAGTGGCTAACGCCATATTGCTTTCATGTCAAACCTGCTGACGAAGGAATCCGAATACTGTCGGCGAAAAACGATTAATCTGCTCGATAAAGGCGACCATATACGCACATTATTGTATTTGGGGCGATCACAACACAGTGATTAACAAATGTTTATAAAAATATTAAATTTCAGTGACAGATCAGTCAGAGCTTTGGTGTTGGTGTCGTTTAAGGGTAGCCAAATTCCAATATTTTTGTGTTTTCTGACTGATAAAATTAGGAATTGTATTAACGGTTTCGATCCCAAAAAATATTTGTTTTTTTAATTACGAATGTCCAAGTATGGCGTATAATTTGTTACCAATTTCTTTTTAGAAACTTCGTAAACACTATATGTATGTACACATTTAACAGTAGATTACTTTATTGACATCACACTTAATATTATATAATTGGATCAACACTGACGAAAAACTCAAACTTCGATTAATAAAATTGAAGTCCCTAGAATTAATATTCACCTTTTAATTTAAAGTACTCTTCTAAATCCTGCTCAATAACTGATTTACAATATCTACGCGGATGGATACCTTTAAAATATGAAAATTAAATAAGCAAACATTTCACTATTTTTTTCTCCTATAATAGTTTTTATTTTTAGATGTGATCGAAATGTACAAAAATCATTACGCTATTTGTTTGATTCTAAATTATTCGATTACCTATACATCTTGATTTAAATTGCGCTTCATTTACTATTTAACAAATCTAAATATACAGGGTGGTTCAGCAATAATTCGTCATAAGTACGTAGCACCGATTATTTCTAGCAAAAATTTCAAATACACTTTTCTTAGAAAATTCTTTATTATATCTATTAAAAGACCTGAAACGTATTTAACTTTTCTTCTACTAAAAATTTACACAAAATATTTAAGGAATTTTCCAAAGGAGTTATTAATTAATAAATAAATATCTGAAGGAAAATATTGGGAGAAAAAAACATCATCTTTAGTTAATTAATTTATTACATACACTTGATTATAAGCTGATTATAAACCAGTATCACAAAACTCTAAAATATCGTCATGTCGAGACCAAAAACAATAATACAGAGTCAATAACACAAAAAATAACCGCAGGAAAAGTTTCAACCGGGGTTTAAAAACGATCAGAAAATAAAATTGCACATAAGTTAATTTTTCTCTAAATTACAACTTGTGTTGTTTAAATACAAAAAAATGTTTACCCATGTGATTCGGTTCGTCATAGCGAATGCACATGCGAATGCAATATGAGTGGCAAATTAATGCTGTCTTTGGTAACTTTCGGGAAGTTACAAATATGCTTTTCTGTACAAAATTTGTATGCAATTTAACAAGAACAAGAAAGACAAGGCTTAAGAAATTTTAAATTGCAATCATTGGATTTGGATCCGGCGTCTTTTCGTAATTTCTAATCGCTTTTAAAATAAAAATTACACACTTTAGGAACACCAACTAAACTGTGTTTGTTACAACTTGGGAATTATTTTGCGTTAAACGCTGTACAGCTAGACATAAAAGTAGTATTTTGGATCATGTTAACGCTTACTGAGCAAACTGCTATCAGTAGATAATATAATAGGGTAGATATATGTATGTATTAAAATTAAAATAATAACTTCGACTAAAAAAATGAGACCAAGCCAAAACCGTTTTTCTTTACACAAACATTATAAATCAGGAACTTTACTCTGCGCCCAATTCTCAGCCCGCAAAAAAACTAATTTTAATTCCAGACTGTATAATTGACTTGACCGCGTATTAAGCAAATAATTAACCTGAAAAGTCCCGATCGGGAAGTAGAACGGGGGCTACCAAAGTCCAGGAATACAATGCCAAACACAACCAACCAGAAATAGCCTTAATCCACATGGACGCTGCGTTGTAGTTGAATTCTTCAATGTTGGAATTAGGCCTGAAATTTGTTTTTTTCAATTCCGCTCTATTTGCGTTTAGTTGTTCAATACTTACTTGTACCAGTTAGTTAAAGTCATCATAATATACAGAGTGGCCAATGCAAACATCACATGGAAAAAACTCCAATTATACGCAACAGCATCGTCCTCATTGTCCCAAACTTTACTTCGGTCCCCACTTTCACCGCCATCATTACCTGCGATACGAGTATAGCCATCTTCATATTTCAAGTAAATAGTAACGGAAACAAAAAATTAAATGGAGCTTAAGGAAAGAAAATATTATCTAACCAAGGCATTACAGTGAATTTGGTAAAGCAATGATTCTTATAGAAATAAAACGCTCACTGATATTCATATTGTTTGAACGTACCTTCAGTAAGAACCAGATTGTCCGATCCGTATCCTCTGACTATAGAAAAAATAAGCATTAGAAATAAAATATAATTCGTGCAATAGGACGTAGGTCTTAGTCTTAGGAGTTAGTTCCAAAGGGGCACATTTTCCACAGATATTGCCTAACCACATATGCAAAAAGCCAGATTTTAAGTGAGTGAACTGAGGAAAATGTCTAAACATTTTTGGACACGAGATCGTTAATCGACATATGTACCAAATAAAAATAATTAGATAGTGCAATTTTAACATTCATATATTTTTCACAGTATTTTTAGCAGTGGCGTTTGCACCTAAATATTGCATTGCATGTTTCGAAGAAGAAAATGGTGTGCCGCTGTTTTCTCTTGAAATAAACATTATTTTTGGAATTATCCTCATTCATTTCTAAACAAATTTGATCTCTTGATTTTATTTCGTCCAATCAATAGATTTCGCTTAGAAAAATAAAAATTTCCGCACACTTCTTTCCACACACAACTGATCAGAGCTATACCGATTTGGAATTGAAGTTAAACAATTTTTTTAAGCGAAAACCGTGCGTCGGGCCAAATAAAGTTAAGACATCCAATTTGCTCATAAATGACTGAGAATTTTAAAAATGAAGACGCGGTATTGCATATGGACAAAGTAAATAAACGTAAGCATAACATGGTTCAAGCAGCCACACCAAACAATTCAGGTATAACGGGGCAGAAATTAAAAAAACATCGCCGACTATTATCAAATTCACTACATAATGCCATGGCTCTAAATACCTAAAGCAGCGCTAGCAATATTCAGTGCAGCCAAAAAGCGATGTCTTTTTCAAATAAAAAATAATTTACCTGCTCCGTTGTCTTTGGCTAACATGTTTTCGGACATGGTCAGTTTTGAGGACTTGCTAGCAGATCTCAAAGATGAGTACAGGACGCAACACATCCAAATGAAAATGCCAATAATATCGAAATTGTGTTCACTGGATTTGGTTCCGAAAATACCCCACATGCCTGGATTGCATTCCTCTAAAATAATCAAAAAATGGTTACAAACGCAAAAATTGCCAGCTACTGCTTCACTTACTGGGAGAGTTCGATACAGCGGACCAAGTTAGATAAGTCACATACAGAGTAACAATCGAAGATTGTAACAAGCCCGATCTGGGCATTTCTTCTTGGACAGGCGGTAGAATGGAAATTACACTGACAATAACGCAAAGTATCAGATTTATTGAGATGAAAAATTTATTTAAATCGCATGAAGATTGATCGGACTGTAAATTAAAAAAAAACACCGTCTAACTTCCGATAAAACCAAACATTAATAAATATACTCACAGTTGTAAAGAACACATAAAGCAGCACAATCCCAGTAATGCTTAGAAGATAGCAGACAACTGTAACTCCAATCAGAGCATAATAGTTTGATTCAGTTTCATCATAGTTGCCCGCCCAAGATTCGGCTACAGAATGGGCAAAATCAACGATGAGCAAAAGTTGTATCAGGATAAATAACAATCCGCCAATAATCCCAAACCACATCCAAGTGATTCCAAAGCTGCCTTCAGGTATAAAAAAGGCCCCGATTATTCCTCCTATTATCAACAGGAATTTTAGGCCCCAAAATCTGAAATATTCCAAAAAATGTTGCGCAAAATCACTCAATACGCTCACTCAGATGGCTTACCCATTTTGTATTCCCGCTCGACCATCTCTGGACGATTTCACCCCGATCATCATCAAAGCAAACAGGGCGAAGAAACATGTTAATATAAAGCAAATCCTGTACACTGCCAGATATCCTACAGCTTTGTCACAATCAACAGATATAGATAATACATTGCCAGCGACGCTTGAACTGTTTGCGCAAAACGGAACCTGCAAAAATCAGTCCACGATTCATGTTGGTAAACCGAATATTTGCAAGGTGTTGGTAAAATACCTTTTTTAATGCACTCTGTAACCCTGGAGCCAAAGTAATACACGCTACGATAGTTCCTAGCAGCAATAAAAAGGCGTAGGCAATTCGGGAGGACGTTGAGTTCTTGCATGAGGGACATGCTGAACAGCATAGAGAACAGGCTGTACTGCCACAACAGCAGGCAAGCTGCAAATGTAATCAACTTTGAGAAATTTAAAAACGTACATACATTTTATATCAATCTGATCATTTGTCGGCTCAGTGTGCAAAATAAAAGTAATTTCGGTGTTTTCTAGTAACAACTACATTTGCTTATTACAAATTGTCTATATATTAGGGGCAGTAGAAGTGTGACAATTTACTTATACCTGTAGTCTGAAATTTGGCAGTTTAATGTAGTTTTTTTTTAAGAACGAATTCCATGAATTTTTAGAATAGTTAATCAGGCAAATAGATCTTATTTTTAGCATTAGTCAACATAATAAGCATACGAGCATATTCCCTTGTTACCTGTGCAGCAGAGCAAAGGCCCAGAACCGCTCCCATCGTTTAGCACTGGCTTTTCAAATAATACTGCAAATTATGATTTTGTAAATGAATTGTTGAACTCACAGTCTATACTTAGACTACTCAATACTCCCAAAAACTTCAAGATATAAACAAAGCGACTTCAACGTAGCTTTCAGAAAATTTATCAATAAAATTTGTGACGTTAATCATGTGATAGTGACATCCAAAACAAAATAAACTTTTTCATTAGGCAGAGCCGACAAAACCTGATAGATCGGTGTTTGTTTCACTTGCGTGCATGGAAAAGCGGAGACAACCATATTTTAAGTTCGCGTATCATTGAAAATCTGAAAAATACATGAATTGCACTGTTAACCTAACATTTTGTTGTCAATTTGTTTGACAAATATAAAATTTACTTGCAAAAACACAATAAATATATATTAATGGCTGCTTTTCACAAACTTGTGTTAAGTCTGGGATTTCTATCCATGTTTCATGCAGCGTATTCAGCAGCACAGCGTAAGCAATTTCCTTTAATTAAATCTATATTAGTTCTTGTTTCAAAGTTTCTAGAACACTTTGTGTAAACTCCATGTATTCTTTAAGTTTCTGTTAGTGTTAGTCAATGCATCTCGCTGTCGGTGTATTGAACGGTATAACAAATTCTGCTTCTATTGCAGATCGCTCCTATTTAAGACTAAATGAACTAGACTTCACAGGCTTGCCCTCTGATGTGAGTATAAATGAACAATTATAGTCATGAAATGCCCTGGTGATATCTGACCAATTATCTATTCACCTATTAAAATTGTGATATGTTTAGATATGCCCTGAACTATGTTTCACTGATTGCGTACATTTCAGATATTCCTTCAGGCATTACTTAGTCTCCTCATTATAATGTATGGGGTATTGAATGTTGCTGGCAACTTCAAGGAGATTAAAGCTTCAGCAGATTTAGACAGTAAATCTTGGGAGACTTTCCGAAATATTCCGTCTTTTTACACATTTTCCCATCGAGGAAAATCGTTTGCTGCATAAAACAACCTATCTAGGTATTTATTAATTAAATAAATTAAGTCAAAGCTTGAGCAACCTGAAATCCGATTTGTATGTTTCAATAAACACTCATTTTTTAATTAAGTTGTTGGAAATAAAATACCCTAGCCACAATTCACAGATTTATTTCTTAACTGTAATATACACATTTGTACATAGATATTAGAGCTAAAAATAAATATTTTCGTTTACAAAAGACGTGCAAATACTTTTAAGGCAATAGAAAGTAAACTTTTATCAAGTCAAGTGGCAAAGATGCTTGGTTATTAATAAAAAGCTTTCAACTGTTCATAGGTCACAAAGAATATAATATTCCAGGGCCCCATTCTCGTGAGAGTGGGTATGAAGCCTTTGTAAAAGGCCCAAAAGCCTTCGTTTTTAAATGTCTGCACAAAACAGTCGAATGTGCCCGAATAGATTCGATAAGGAACTGCAATTCCAACTTTCTTCAATTTTCTTTGGTTCATTAGACGTGTCTGAAAAAAAAATGATTGGAAACTTACCAACTTTTGTAAATTTTTGTTGGAAACACTTACCCTTACAACGTCAATGGGTGTGGACGCTATTGCACTTCCGAAACTGGCAAACAGACTAGATCTATTAAAAAATCCCAAGAGTGAAATTCACGAAAACTACTTCTATTTTCACTTACAGAAAATGATTTGACGCTCTGTCCCCAAGGAGATTCATAAGATGACTTTTACAGAAGTCGTATACTGGTAATTCAACTGCGGCAATGACTGCAGCTCGTTGAGCAGTCGGGTTCACGCCCTGGAAATATTCATAATAATGTATTGAATCAAAATTTACAGTAAAAATGATATCATTGGAAAATACTCAAAACAAATTGACGATATTGAGTGTAACAGACGGTTTTCGAAATCAATATTTTCAAATCCGCGACGCTAGAAATTTTCTAGCACTGGAAAACGAAAATACGGAGGAAGAATAAAAAGCTTTCATTAGCGCGGTGATCAAGCCTCTTTCTGCATTATGCATAATATGGATGCATTTTCATAATTGCTCCAGTTCAAATAAAAACTTCCAAGCAATCAGTATTGTATGAACCGATAAATATTTATTTGGAAAAACCAATTGTAAACAAAACAATGGATTCAATAGAACGTGCACAAAACAACGAACACAATAGAAAGTGCCGGAAAGAACATTTATTCTCGACTAATCTGGGCAAGTAGTCTCAGATGTTGCATCATATATTCGGCATTAAACATCTTCGAAACCTGGGTAATTATCATATTTATTTAATTTTGATATCTATTTATTGTATGTTATCGTGGAACATAAACGTTTAAAACAGCGCACATGAATGATTATTTTTTTCTTACTTTCAAGATTTTCCACATACAATCGTTTTTAATTGAAATAATAGGGTGTTAATTGATTACCTGCAAGGACTAAACTCTGACTAAACTTATTTAACCATTCATTAGTAATCCTGAAGGACTTCTTGCATAGTTTTTACACAACCTTTTGTTACATTAAACGATACTATTTTTTTAAATAAGCACAATACTTACTCGCCATAATCCTGAGATTCCTTCGTGAGTATAAACTTCTTTGAAGCAGTCAACTAGGCCCACATTGCTTGTAGCGCCTTGGACTTGCATACGCACTTTAAGTACATCTGTTGGATTGGCAATAGCACTGGAAACAGTTCCAGCAAACACAGCACATACTATATTAATCGTAACGCTCTCCTCGCCTTTTTTGTGCTCTAATATAATACTTTTCAGGGAGTAATAAGTACCAAACTTTATTGTTCCATACGTTGCTTGACGTAATACTGCTGGGCCAATACTGAAACGCATGCGAAAACAAAAATGCTTGTTATAATAAGACAAAAATCCTTACATACCGCTTAATTTATGCCCCTTATTTCAACCTGGAAAATATCTACAAAGAAAAACTTCTACATTAAGATAATTGAAGTTTTACCGAAACATCGGTGTTAAAATCTTAGGCGTTGATCTAAGTTTAATGACTACATTATTTTAGTTATTAATTTTGTGGGCAAAAAAATGCTGAACAATTGGATGATTCGGTTTCATTTCAAAAATATTGCCGACAAGTGAAAATGACCGCAATTGCATCATTTTCATATTTTTTGTTTTGTGTTGGGAGAAGTTATTGTGAACTCTAATAAAATAAAGAATAAATATTTTTGCTAAACAAAAGCGCCTCAAAAAAATTACCCGAAGAGTAGGTGACTTCTTAACGAGCAAATTGATATTTTCGTCCCTTTTTTTAGTCCAATCAACATTTTTTGGTTCAAATCAAGTTCAATCATCGCAGATCGCAGATACTGCACATTTCAACGATTGTAATTTTGAAAAAAGTGTCTTACCCCGAATATAAAGATATGAATCCTTCCTGCTTCGCGATTTTCAGGAAGCAATCGACCATTCCATTGTATTTCAACGCGGAATGGTTTTTATCTAACTTTTGCCCTTGGATTTGCAATCGAGTTTTGGTGGTATCAATAGGAAATGTACCTGTAAAAAATGTATTGTTAAACAGAGAATCAAATATAACATTCCTAACATATGACTAAAATAGAAATCAGTTCTTTGATTGAAGAAAGTTTTTTTGATGCGAAACGCACCGTAAAACTGGAAAATAAATACGAATTTTGCAAGTCAATTCATTTTAACCATAATGAAATTAAATTAATATTAAAGCGTTGGAACTTTTTAACAAGGATTGTATGTATTATTGAAATAATGTTTGTAGAAGTGGATGTGAATGGTCTCAGCATGTAATACAATTTTAAGAGTTCAATGCACATTTTTCGAATGAATCCACTTTTAATCTGTTCATTCTTAAAGAAATAAAATTAATCGACTTTTCTTATTAATTTAAGTTTAAGGTCATAAATAGATAGCCACCAGCAGTGCTGTTAATTATTTCTATAAGATATGAGTGACGACCCAAGGGATTTCAAAATAAATTCTTTATCTTGGAATTACCTCACTTATTTGGAATCAATCGTGATAAACAGTTGAAACGTAAGATAATTTGATATAAAATGTATATTGATAAATATGACGCTGATTGTGCGGTTCATGCAATTGTTATTTTAGAAAACATAAGCGATGACAGAAATGTAATATGAAAAAGTTGGAACACGAAAAATCAATTTTTTTTAACCCAACGTAGGAAAAATGTAAGTGCATTTAAATATCCAACCTCGTTGTCGCTTTTATGTTTCATATCATGAAAAAACTCAAGGACACAGTCCGATGGTAAAGTATAATCTAATCTAATTTTACCATTTCAGATGTTGCTTCTGCTCCAATAAATATTATTAGGCCTATTATACTTAAATGACTAAGTAACGTTTACCTTTTTTGGGTTTGATAAATTTTTAACTTAATGATATACCAGGTGTCCTGGTAAGATTGGGCACGGGCAATATCTAGAAAAACATAAATGAACATATCTGAGCTCTTACTTTTATCGGCATTGCCGCATCAGGCCCTCAGTGGCTCGTTCTTGCAGATGTGCTGAAGAGAGTTTGCATAATTCAATATAAAAGCGAACACGTAGTGACCAATTATACTGAGCAAGTAAAACAGTGCTTCATAAGATCAAAAGGAAATGTTTCAAGTAAAAACGATTTAAAACTAGCTAAAGTTAATAAAAAATAACACGCACATCAATACTGATTATTCTTGCTAGTTTGGCTCAGTTCCAAGGATTCTGATCTTAATTGTATCTAATTTACTTGAATCTAAGTATGACCAACAATATATCTTTAAGGCTTATTTAATAACAGGTATTAAACCCATCGGAAAATATTGATTATATTAGTTCCGGGTGCACAGGGAGTGAATAAAAATAATACTGAGCATGATTAGCTACGAATTTAATAAAAAACAACAGCTTTTGGGTCCGTAACGATGCCGAATTATTCTGGTCCTTCTAGCAGTATTAAATTAAATAAATCGATCATTTATAAAAATCATTCAACAAATGCATGTCAAATAAAAATGTACTCGTCGAATATCTTAAAAGATTTTCATCCCAATAATACGTTACTGAAAAATTATCTAAATCTCATTAACACCTTGTAAATGCGGATATCAAACAGGTTGGTGGGTTTGAATTGGCTCAATCTGATTATTCATACACGTGTAGCTATTTTTAATTCCCGGTTACCTTTGAGGTACGGTGCAGGTCATTAATTATTAATATCTTCATTTGCACATATTTGGACATCACGTGAATACTTAATGGTCTATTCGAATAACGTTTTATTTTAATCTATAGAATGTCTAGTGTTTCATCCCATCAAGTACCGCATATTTCATGCAAAGTGTAAGCGAAAAAAGTGCTTTAAAAAAATCAATAGACTTTCTGACGTCTTGTTTACGTTTTCGCAGTGAATATGGGCTATTGATTTGTTTTGTCGCAGCTATTTTCACGAGCAAAAAAATATTATTAGCCAAGAAAAATGAAACGTAACTATATATAAATTGCTTACCAAACTCTGCCACGCAACTTGCAAGACCCCCGTATACGAATGGTCGCCAATCCCTATCTCCCATTCCACTTTTAACCATTGAATAAAGCGGAATTTATAGAATAATGAAATAAAAACACTGAACCCGGGGCTGTTCTGGAAATAGGTTATTAATTTCTGACGGCAGGCTTCCAGAAATGCCAAAACAAAGGACACCACTGCGACTGCGACGACGGACAACGTCTGACTCACGTCTGACTGATAGACATCTAACGGAAAGCGTAACTAACTTTCCGTCAAATATATAAAAAAACCGAAAACGCGAAATGTTGTAATTTTGACCGGCGGTATAGCGGTTTCATACTTAATAATTGCATGAGTTTTGCAAAGGCTAGACAAGGATGGTAGGTTAACCGGAAATTTTCGAGAATTTTCTGCTCCATTCAAGCTACTGAAGAATGAAAGGTTTGAAAGATCGAAAACCTTTTTCATATTTATGTGTTCAAATAGCGGCAAACTATTAAAAACAGCTTCCAACTGCAGTGATTAAAAATTAAAAATTAATAATCAGTTGTGATATTGTCTATCGACATAAGTCGGTATGGCCGTCAAAGCTAGTTTGACAACAAATGTCAGTTTGGGTATTTCGCCTCAAAAGTTTTTGTCTTTAAAAAAGACAGAATTTCCTCACGTCTTTTATTACAGATTGATAAATAGTGCTCCTATTTCGCAATAAGAACGAATTAT